TACAAGGGAAAGACTTCTTTAAGTGGTTCGATTCGACCCTATTATCGACTCTAATAAAAGCCATTCCTGAATGATGTCTAAGTGGAAGTGGGTGCAGTCATTTGAGATTTTATTTTTCTCAGCGGACTAGTGAAATATATTTCAGTTACGGGTGGTCAAAAGAATATAATTTCTTAATACCCTCCACTCTCATTAGCTTTGTCTCGCAGTCATATAGCTGGATCAAGCGAATTTTAACTATACACATGGCCTTTTGTCTTTATAATGATTTCGCAATACTCCATAAAAGTTTCATCATCTGGAAAAACTGGAAGAACTTTTCACCGTTACTAGCTAACATTTATACCTAGCTGTAATTTTTTTTTCACTTGGAGATTAAAGCGGATCCAAGAATCTGAGATAAAGTCTAAGATAAAGTCTGGCATTTTCTCAACCGGTAACGAATTGATGAAATAGGTATTTTATCAACTTCTTTTATATAGACGAGAAAGCTTTTGTTTTATTTACATCGATCCTGAATCGGATTTTCGCTGCAATTGTCATCATACTGTTATATTTTGGCATAATGTCAGCAAAAAGGATTGCATCATCAGCGTATTCTAGGTCTATGATATTATGCTCTGGACTGATATGTATACCTCTTGACTGCCGACAAGCGATGTCCATTGTCCATCGCATAGTTAAATATTGTTGGAGAAAGGACGCAGCCCTGATGGACACCAGTTCTTATTTCGAAGGAGTCTGTCAGTTCCCCTATACAGATCTGTGCCGATGTATGCTGATAAAATCCCTTTATGAGTCGAATGATCTCTAACATCATCGCATTCCATTATCCTCCAAAGCGGCATTCTATCAATTGAATCAGCTGCAAACAATGAAACACGCGATGATGGGTTACATATATTTGAAACGATTTTCCAGCGCATTTCTTAACGTGAATATCTGGTCAGTAGAACCGCTCTCGATCTGAAACGAGCTTGCTCAGGGCGCGCCATAAGTCTATTCAGCAGGAAGGAAACAAAAATTTTCCCAGAGATACCTAGTAAGTTGGTTTGTCTATAATTGTCATAGTATGTCCTATTACATTTTTTAGAAATTGGGAGTAGAATTGTTTTGCTGCAGTCTTCTAGTATTTCTTTCTTATATACCGGAGAGTTGAAGGTGTGATAAGAAGGACGGACGATGGACAACATTTAAAGGATAGCATTCAATTCGAGAGTTTTATTGCTTTTAAGTTTCTGGAGGACAGAGATTGTTCCTGTCTTCAGGCGGTTCGAATTTGCAAGAATATGGCTCGGAAAGCGAATTAGATATATCTGAAACAACAGATGACGCATCGTGGTTACGTTTGGCCTCAACGAATTCCTTCTGTCTTGTAAGGCGATCCTTAATAGCCTTAACCAGCACACCATTACTATCCCGTATCATTTCACTCACCGTCTTACCGTTCCGACTTATAGTTGCTTTGTGACTTTGTGAAGAAGCGAAAAAATTTCCAATTATTACCTAATCGATCAGCCATCTCCATTCTCAAGGCCATATCATTCTAACAGGTATTTCCTTTCTCTCCCACCATGTTGCTATCGTTGCAATTCGAAGCATACGATAGTCAGCATCTCCTGATATTCATGCTTTGACAGATACATTCTTTTCAAATACTTGGCAGTTGCTGTAATATTCTTCCGATACCCAATTAGAGTATTTACTACTAGTATATTTAAGTACAAAATTGGCTGACTTTCGAAGAAATGCCTTTATTTTTGAGCATTATTCATTCGAGGGATGTCATTGATATTCATTTTACTAAGATGCTACACTAATTCGGTTTAAAGTGCACGTACTATCCTCGAATCTTTTAGTTTGAAATAGAAGATCTTAGAAGACATTATATCTTGCGAGTTTTCAGTTTTATGCCAATTATGACTTGAACCACTACATGGTTTGGTCCATGAAAATTTTAGCTTTCCGATAGGAAGGACTATATAGTACGGAACTCTTTCAGTGGCGACTGATTAAAATATAATCAGTCTGATTGGGGTGTGGGTTATCCGGGGAGTTCCACATGATTAGATATTTTCCGATGCCAAAAGTGTTTTGGTAAAAAATTCGTGCTCGTCAGCAAAGCAAAGAAGACGTTCTTCTTTAGCGCATCCCGATGCCATATTTCAGTTACTGAGTTCACCGTGGTGGCATCGCGTTCTCCACATGCATTGCAGTCTCCTCCGATTACAACCAAGTAATTTTTCGGTGGAAATGTTGTTAGCAGTTGAACTTCCACATAGAACTTATCCTTATCGCGGTCATCTGCATTAAAGTTATATTGATAATCGAAATATTGCAGAACTTTTGAAGCGTAGACTATACGGTCGTTTACCGTTTTCCAGTCAGTCAAAACCGACCGAGCTTTTTCAGACAATCGCTACGCTATTTCGTCCCGAGTTATCAAAAACACCACAATTGATAAAGCCATTATCTCTATTCGGAATCGGATTTATTAATTGCACGAGATCTGAAGTAAGGTGGGCGTTCTCAGGCAATATTCACACGATCTTTAGAAAGATTTAACTTGCAACTTTCATAAGTTTTGATGCTCCTACAACTAACTCGCCGTGTATGCAAAAATCAATTTCTCTTGACAGGTTATCCTTGACATGGTTCCTATTATCCTGGCTCACGAGCATATCATATTTTCAAGCCTTAAGGTGTTTGAACTATGCCCATATTGCATACTTATCGCATGTACTACCGGCTTGGGAGTATCATGCACTTCGGTTAACTGTGTCAAAAAGAACATTTCATCATTTTGTCACTTGTGGATATGCTCACTAGTGGATCCCCAGCAACCAATTTGGATTTTTGATATGATAAGTTTACTTCTGTCAAAGATAATGGTAAAATAAGGGAAAAAAATTGAGGGATGAAAAATAAAATTGAAAATAAAAAAACTTAAGAAGGAAAATATATAAAATAGGTATATTTAATTTAAATAATTTGTATAATTTAATTTGTTTAAATCATAATTAATTTGGTTTGAGTGGAACTGAAAACGAACAATTAAAAGTTTAAAGAATTCTTGTTATTACTCGTTTATAAATTAAATGTCATCTTCAATAATTCAGGATTGATAGTGTAAATGTAGTTCTGTTTTGTAAATATAGATTAATGGATTATAAAGTGGCGGGAAAGAGATTAAGATGCTTCTTCCACTCTCGCTGCTTGGGTCTTATTTCCAAGCCCTATGTTCTTATGCCATTCGTGATTACTGAAGCCATTTCTTTTTTTTTGCTCATATCGCTGAATTGCTGGGCGTTCAAAATCTTCCGTGAACTATGAGTTCCTGATTGGTTTATTCTCGTTTCTAATTACCACGCCATCATAAATTGTTTATCAATTCATCTTATGACAGACGACGAAGAACCAGTGCAATAATTTGTTTTGTCGTGAAACGCGAAAGTAAAAAAGCTGTATGATCATAAAAAAAAAGTGGATAGTAATAGGCGAACTAGTAATTTATCTTATCAGTAAATGAAATCAGCAACAAAGCAAACCATCAAGGACCAATAAGAGGAGGTTAATATGGTAGCTTCCATCAAAACAGAATATCGAAGTTTAATCACATGGCAATCAGCAAATAAGATAGTGGAACTCTGAAAAAAAGTGAAAGGAAAAGTGGGTAAAGATCAGTGGAGTACGAAAAATACGAAAATGATACGATGATATCGATGGATAGCCCAGTGAAGGAAAAATGCCTTTCGGGAGAAGCTCAGAAGAGTGGAAGCGAGCCTTCAAAATTAGTTTTCGCTATTTCGCGATATTTTTAATAAAGATGGGGCAAGAAGGATGCATTTGTGTGAAACTCTGTCAACCAAATTGGTAACTACCAAGCACTTAATATATTTCTTAGACAAGAATGGTCAAATGCGGATTAATTTCTTGATATTTTCCACATTGGTCATATCTTGTTGAATTATGTTCTATAGATGTGAATTTTCGTTTTGAGGTGGATTTTGGAGCATTTTGAAAGAGGCTTCCAGATGGAAGAAGGCAGTGGTCGAACTGAAATTTTATGCTTGTCTGATCATTATGTACAAAATAGATTATAAGTAATTATAAGATAAATTCGAGGTCTTTTTTTTTAGATTCCTCACCATTACTACTTGAACTCGCTCTACTGGCCTGTTGCATTGGGCAATATGCCAGAGAGTCTCTTGGCGATAGAGATACTGATGAGTCGCCAGCATCACCAGTATTTTTGTACAGGTTTACTCCTCAGCATTGGCGCTCCCAATTAAACAACAACCCACTGAGCCATAAAATCTAAACTTCCTAAACCATTGATGATTTCTTATCTACATTCATTTGAAAGATAATTAAATAACAGTTAGCGAAAAGAACGACATCACCAGAGTATTTAAGGAAAATATTATGCCTCGGATTGATTTTATACCAGAATGCTGACAGGCAGTTGAAAATTCATATTTTATTTTTCATTATATTTTATTCATCGTACTTGTTGGCAACTATGTTTTAACCAAATATTCATTTTTTTATCCCACTTTTTTTTATGAATTGGATAGTGGTCACAGCTATCGAATTGAAAGCAGCGATAAGGTCGATAATGCGCAGTAGGATTGAGGTATTTGTGGGGATATTTTAATTCACTTCTCAGTGAAAGTTTCTTATGTTAGAAACATTCTGCTTTTGAGTATAGGTCTGTTCAGGAAAAGGGACATAAAAAGAATTTCCATTAATATTCAATAAGCTGATTCCTTCTTACTTGTCGCAGTTATAGTTGTTGTCTCTTATCAAATATAATGTGGTAAATTCTCTCGTTTGTCCAAAATTAGAACGTTTAAGAAGCGTAAATAACTGAATTCAAGTGTAATGGCAGATTCGTAATGAAAGATATAGGAGCATTGCTAAGGCATGCTAATTCCTTATTGAATTATCGTTGTGAACTATATAAATTGCGATATTAAATTTTTCCTCTTTCAGAACCCATGAAGAGCTATACAACTATTGGAAATTCAAATAGTATAGAAGATGATGTAAATTATTATGAACGTGAAATTGAGCGATATATGCAGGAATCGCTGGATAGTACTCAGAGAGCTAGAAGTAAGCTGGAAGAAAGTGAACAGATTGGAATTTCTGCTGCTCAGGTTAGCAATTAGCAATTCAATTTTTGATTTAAAAAACATCTGAAGTATTTATGTTTGTTAGCCATGCATATTTATCATTCGTGAATTTTAATTTCCAATCTGTCATTTAATTTATCTTATTTGCAAAGATTCTCAATGAAAATTTCGGAAACAAAAATTTATTGTTGAAAAAATAGATTTTTAGGATTTACTGGCACAGCGTGAAAAACTCGAAAATACGGAAAAAAATTTGGATGAAATTGACAAAACAACGAAAATGACTCAGCGAAATCTAAACAGTTTGAAATCTGTGGTCGGAGGATTTTTCAAGAATAAATTCTCTCGTGCACCTAAGGATTCCTCAACAGAGGTTTTAAAATTAAATTATGATTGTAAACTAGAAAGTTTTATTGATCGAAAATTATAAGAATCGAATCGAATTCTTATTAGTACTTTTAATTCTATCGTATTGTACTGGTAAGAAATTTTTAAAGGAATTCATCATAGTTCCATTGCAATTTTGTCGTTTGAAAAAAAAATAACTTTCATTGTATGCTTTTCATTTTATATTCTGTCACTATATGTTGGATTATTTCTGGGGCTTACAGTCTGCATTTAGAGTCCATTGTGGTAGGTTCTCGTTTCGATTGATCTGGGGCTTAATGCTTGTTCTTATGCTGATAATTAGTACCTCGGTTAATCCTTTGCTTTTTTGCCTTTCTCGGCCTTCTCCAACGGTAGGATTTCGCAATGTTGGGTAACTCAGCTATGTGTCGACAGTGCAATCCATTGAAGGCTTTGTTTTGCCATGGTATTTCCTCTGCTTGATCGTTTTTCAGTATTTGTACATTATTCAGCATTCTCTCAGCAGTTCATCCTTTGGTGTTATCTTGCTTATTTCTGTAATCTATATTTCTGGATGCTTCGTTTCATTTAAGGTAGTTGCCTTCTTTCCGGCTGGTCTACAGTTTTTGGGGATTGGACTGGAAATTTCTGTGCATTAGAATATTGCGACATAAGAAAATAAACTGATGCCAATAGCAATATTTAGAGTGAATACGAACTTTTATTTTAGCCTTTCGATTTAGTAACTTTGATATATTAGATTATTTTGTAATGGTCAGAAAACGAGGATTTTCTTAATTTATCTTTAAGTCTATATTTTTACGATATTTTTGATTAGTAAAGTAAGCGTTTACTCCTTTAAAATATATTCTGTTTTTTTTTTCATAGCATGATTTTATTTTGTTAGTAGAATTTGTTGGATTTTCAGATGTCTTCATGCAAGTCTTCTAATTCCCTTAGTAATACTATAGGAAAATTAAATGATGATTATGATTATCGAAAGGGTCCAATCTCTACTTCGGGCCCAACTCTTAGCGAAAATTCAAGATCTATGATCAAAGGCACCAGATGGGAAGTAATGGATAATGAAATCGATGCTAATTTAGGTAAATATTTTCTGATGTCGCCATTAAAATAGTCCAATTATTTTCCATTATTCACTTTTCAAAAAGGAAAAAGATTTTGCAGATTCCATGAGTTCACAGTTATCTCGCCTACGCCAAATAGGTACAGCCATTGGTGAAGAAGTAGATTCGCAAAATGAACTTCTTGACCGAATTCATGAAAAAGTTGAGAGGAGTGATGCGCGCGTTAAAGATCAGGATAACCAGGTAAGTTTTATTTATTCATTTTTTTCCATATGAAATTATTAATAATAGTTATTTCAGATGAGAAGATTGTTGGGAAATGTGCAAAAAGAAGAACAACAACCAACACTCCCTTCAGTAAACAAAAAAAAGTACAAGTTTGTAAAATTTAAGGGGAAATTTTGGAAGGAATCTGATCTACATTGTAGATTAAACAAACTTAAATTATAAGTTTACTAATTTTTTCTATCTAAATTTATTTTTTACTTATTTTTATTTTAAATTTATTTTTTGTATAATATTTCTTTGTTCTTCTATTTGCAGTTTTCTTTTTCATTGAATTTTAATTGAAATAATTTTTTCATTTTTTTTAGGATGCTGTTCAGCGCTGTCAGAAGTGCTTTCTAAAACTTTTATCCTTGCATGAATTTTTCTTATCGTGATCTGTGATTGATTAAAATGCTTAACTTTATCTATATCTATTTTTCTATAAGTTTATTACTGTTTTTATTATTTTCTTCATTATTTTTATTATTATGCATCCAGTTATCGTATTATTCTACGGAAAAAGTTATAATTAATTATAATATCATTCTATAATTATAATTATAATTATAATATTATAATATCAAGATCATTTACCTGTTGGTCGAGCATTAATTTTCGAGAACGTTTAATTTTACTCATTAATGAGATAAATCTGGTTTGTTAATGCAAAATTTATGTTTGTATATGCGTTTTTTAAATATATTAAATATTAAATATTTTAATTATCTATTTTGAAGTTCTTTTCAAACTGCCTTAATTATTTGGTTTTCAGTTTTATTTAATTTAGTTTAAATAACTTTTTTTCTTGAATAAACTTTCTTTAGAATTAAGCTTGCAAAAGTAGATTTTGCTCGATTAATCTAGAACTTTTCAAATAGAACTTTTGAGGCGATTGTTTTGTGGATCTTACTTTCCTGATCATCTCGTGATATTTTTTGAATCTTATGATATATAAACAAGATGCTTCGAGTGTCTTTTTTTACGGCTACAGGCGCGTATGGTTAAATTATCAAATTAAATACGATTGGATTTTTTCGCATACTATCCAGAATTTGTAAAGTTCAACTTTTTATTTTTGAAAATAGGATGAAGACATTGTTCCACATAGTAATACTGAAGTGGCACCGTTGTATTTATACGAATTTCTGCTGCAATATTTGTTTACATATTGGAAATTTATAAAAGTAGATCGTGGTTCATAATAAAAAAGAAAAATAAAAATTTATTATTTATCACAATTATTTTCATAAATTTTTATACAATCTAAATATTAAAGATTAACAAAATTGCTATTAATAATGAGTGAGTTATCAGCAATAATCTTTCTAATCTGAGAAAACACCTTTAGTACCTTTGGCTTGGCGAATTTCACTGACTTCTGGGATGGGAATATCTCACGAACAACTCAATAGTGGGAGCATAGCAGGGTTCCCAATATCCCATTTTGATTGGATTCGTGCTAAAGAATAGAAATCGAACTCTTATACTTCAACCTAAAATTCAAGCACAATATTTTAAATGAAGTTGGAATGGAAATGAATGGTTGGTTGTAGGATGTTCTGAAAAAAAAACGAATGCATATTTCTCGCATGTATAGCGTAAACATTCGTTCGATCTGCTGGCGCGAAATATTACAGATATTTTTTAATATTTTATGAGGCAATTCTACTTAATCATTTTGACAATTCTAGTAAATGAGCAGCGAAAAGATTCTGACAAGTAAACCGCTCGAACAGCGCGCACCATTTATCATTTCGTTTACTCCAGTGGTTCAACGGTGACAATTATTTGTTCAATTATTTGCTTAAATAATTGTTAGAAAGCATTTGGTTATTGGATTAACTGAATTAAAACGACTGATAAGAGGTGTATTTTAAGTAGCTGATTAATGCGAAAAAAGTATGGCAAATTTATCGCTAAGGAAAATTTGATATTTGTTTCTTATTTGTTTCGCCGGATCGTCATTTTCTAATAGCATTCGAAATTCCCCGTTTGGTTGGCTTTTCTGACTAATAGAATGGAACTCTTTTGCCAGAGAGTCAATTAACGATAGAAATTCACGCATATCATTTTAAACTTATTCCGGTAAAAAGAAAGGGGTCGAATGGCAATCCTTTTCCTACGATTGTTCTTTTCTTTAACTTTTAAACTCTTAGAAACTATCAATTTTCAAGGATGCTGAAGGCAGGAATTAAGTCCATTATAATGCAATTAGTTTAATTTTTAAATGTAATAAAAATTGTATTTGTAAAAATTACATATTTAAAATATGTTTTATTGATGCATTTTCTCAGTTAAATATAATAAGCATATGGGAAATTTTTGTTTATGGAAAAAAGTGGATTTTCTATATTTTCTTTAATCAATTTGATAAGGCGGAGTTGCTTGGGGCTTTTTTAGTTCGACTCGATCACCAACGAAGAAAGAAGAATATGTGAGTAATATTTCAGACATACTCGCGGTTCGCTATGGTTTTTATAAGATTATTATGAGATTTCTAGATTTTTATATTGATTCGCGCTTCTTTTTCGGATATATGTATTTCTACCTACAAATTCGGGTATATGTATTTCTATCTCCTTTCTACAAATGACTCTGAACGAGATTACGAACGAAAGGGTCGTATCCAAGTAGCCAGTGCAACCAGCCAAATGACTGATGGAGAGTCGAGTTTCTTGTCCTATTAGTCAGCCAAATGACTGGTGGTGAGTTATAGAAGCCGAATAAGAGCCTTGCAGTAAATTCAGTTGGAAAACACTCGTTCTATCATATTTGAAATACCTTCTAAATGATTCAATTTTTGAAAAAATGTTTAATCAAAAGCAAATTCTTGTTGTAATCAAAGTTTTTGGTTTTATTCAGTTGTTTCATCCAAGTTATTTATTTTTAACGAAAATTTTGCATCTTAGAATCGTTTATCCTAAATGCACTTTTCATTCCTCGTTGGTCTGATTCCATTCACTGCTAGAGTGCAGCATTTTCAGGTCTTCGGAACGCTGGCATGAATTTAACTAAAGCCTTTGCATTCATTCATTCTTTCTGGCTTATATCAACAGTTCTTCATTTTTTTAATTGTTTTTTCGAAAAATACAGTTGAATTTTATTCAATGAAGCAAAAAATTTGATAACTGTTAAAACTGACAACTGATAAAGTATATTCGGCGGTCTCGCTAGAGTATCGCTCGTTTCGTTTTAATTTTGCTTAATTTTTTAAAGTTCTCTTTTAAAATAAAATGAAATATTTTTTCTTCATTAGTTTATTTGAATCAGCTGAATTTTCCGTTTTTTCCACAACAATTAAAGAAAATTTCATTTTAATTAAGTAAAAAACAATTTCAAACTTAAAGTTTTTTATTTTTAAACTTTAATTTTGGTTTTTTTTTATAACTTCGCAGTTTTTTATATCTTTCATATTTTTATATAAAATATTAATGGCCAATGGCACGAACAATTGCAAAACACTTGTTTTTTCCAGAAAATCTAAGAAATAATAGAGGAAAGCTGATTGATGGATAAATAATCTCGTAGCAATAACTGTTATCCCATTAATCATTAAATCCTTATTGGCGACGAATTCCTTCTTCCAACAAATTAATAATAATATTTGTTCGAATATGCGTATATTTTCAAATTTTTACCCAACTAAGAATTCTAATTTAGTTGATTTGAATAAATTAGATTTGAATGAGAATAATTAAAATATCTTTTTTCATCGTTTGCATGAAACATATCGACAATTTCCACAATTTTTATAAATTCGAGGAAAAAATTTCTAAAAAAATTTCTCGCCATTCCAATAGCATAGATAATTCCATAATTCTTCATTTCATATAACTCTATTTTGGTTGATTTAATCTTCTCAAAATATTTTATTATTTAAGAAACGAATACTTTTATATACTTTTTGAGGCATTCTTTTTGCTAATAAACATTATTTTTCCTAGTAAAAAAAAAGAAATCGAAATAAAATATTTGAAATTAACGAAAATTGAAATGAGAAAAAAAGCAAGTAAATTATGGCCGAAAAAAGATTTGGTCAAAGGAATTAGAAAATATTTTTTCGACAATCAGAAGAGATGAAAATTTTATTTATTTATAGATTAAAATTCCCCGAGGGATTATCAAATTCACGAAGAGTTTATGCGGTGCAATTCTCTTTAGTTGTATTTTCGTAGTGATTTTCAACAAAAACTTGTAAAAACTTGTAATATTTTTATACTATGAATAACAGAAAAATAACGAAGTAATCACTTGAAATCACCAGCATCGCGCAGAGTTTTTACTGATAGCTGTACCTTGCTTTAATGATAAAAATCAGAACTCTCTATCCTACTCAAGACGATAACAATAAAAGATTCGGTTATCCTGCTAATGTTTAAATATTTAATTCATTAATAAAAATTGGAATATATTAAATTTTCACAGATTTCAGTTTTAACAACTGAGTTAAAATGATAAAATGAGTTAAAATCGTGAAGTTTATTTATTGTAATAAATAACAAATAATTTGTCGCAATTAATAATAATTTGTCGCAATGTCAATAATTTGTAATAATTATATGATAATTTGTCAATAATTTGTCATTAATTTGCCGCAATTTTTACAATATAAATCAGTTATTTATGGTCTTCGATGATTATATTTGTAATCAAAGCCTATGTAATAAATTGTTTTTTGCAAATATCGAGTGCTCAAGAAATTCTAATCGACGGGTATTCGAAATATGGAATACCACTCAATTACAGGTTCCATTCATCGATTCTTTTTGTTAATGAACGGATAAAATCAAATTTTTCAAAAATCCTTTTGAAATATAAAAATTTAATAAGGTAAAATTATTTTCCAAAAAAATACCTATTCTCCATAAGATTGCGATAATGAAATATTTGGAATTTCCAAAAAATTTTTTTGTATTAAATTTTTTACATATCTTATTTTCATGATTTTTTTAAAACAGTTTTTCTAAAAGAGAAGAATCTGACGAAATGTTATTAACCCGCGAAATGCGAGATATTGGTCGGAAAAAAATTTTCTACAATAGTAGCAAAAAATGCGTTGATGATGCTCTTATCATAACTGAACTGTTGAAAAATTACGATAAGCATCAATTGCCTGGTGGTACTAGTGTTAAAGTATCAGTTGAGGTAATCTCTAACTCAATCACTGCATGTATAAAACGAGAATCATTCAAATTATATTTGTCCCATTCTTGCAAACCGCTTTAACCAGTAATTTCGCGCTATTTAAAGAAGAAAAAAAATTATTAAATTCCAGGCGAAATAGTGGAAAAATATAAATGGAAAAGTGAAGCCTTTGCTTCGCTAATAATCCAAATCATTTTGCAAATTTGATTGAGTGAAGTTTGCTCCTAAGGCTAATTCATCATCAAACTTCAAATGCATTATTCTTCTTCGAATAGCAATCAGCATTTCTGGTTTGGCCCAATCCCTTTGGTTTTTGTGAAACATCTTCGCAAGAAGATCGCTTAGGGATAAAAGTCGCTCCCTCGAGTCATCGGATTTCATTTATTATGACAGATTTATAGATTTACTTCCGTCAAAGCAATAGATCACTCAACTCCCCATTCCATGTTATTGAATATTTCATAATCTTGCGAGCTCAATTTTTTTTCAAAAAAAGTTTTAAGTTATAAATTTTTAAAGCGAATTTTTAAGCATTACGCTTTTATTCTTATAAATAATTCATCACCAAATAATTTCCTTCTAACATTTTTTAAAAAAATTTTCAAAAAAATTCAATTAATGGGACGAATATAATTTATTTATTTGCAGATTTGGGTACAGGAAGTTTCGAAAATAATTGAAATAACAAGTGAATTTCAATTAGATATTTATGTAACTGAAAAGTGGATTGATCCGTCACTTGCTTATGGACACCTAAATCCATGCAAAAAGTATGCTAAAAATTTAGGAATTCTTTTAAAAACGCGCAAAATTCCTGATTTCATTCTAATTTAGTTTTATGGATTATAAAGCACGAATATTTATTTTTAAAACTAAACTGATTAAGCAAATAAGGAAAATTACTGAAAAAAATTTTTTAAGTCCTTTGTTAACGAATTTGTGCAAAACGAGCGAAAAATCGAAATTAATTTTTTTCAAATTTCCTATTTTTATTTTTTCTTATTTCATTTCGCATGGAAAAAAGTTTTTCCCGAAAAAATGAAAATTAGTGAATAAATGCAGTTGTCGATCGATAGAATCCTTTTAAATATCGAAATCAAACAACTAAAACGAAAAGAAAAAAAGAGGGTACATCACTTCGAAATTGGAACTTCCCAATCTGCAGTCGATTACTTCATAATTATATCAATGTTCTTAAAATAAAAAGGGCTAAGGGCTTTACCAAAAAACGCCATTTTTGACCTATAGTACATATTAGAGAAAAGGCTCAGCACTGCGAATTACCAGAAAGTACCAGAGGGCCAATTAAAAATTAGGTTTCTTGTATTTCATTTGAGTATTTCTCACGAAAATTGCCAAACTAATTTTCGACCAATTAGACGGTGGTAATTTTCGAGCTTTTGAACAATAATTTTTAATAATCTAATACTATATTGCTATCTAAATCGAGCAAGAAGTTCGATAATTTGGATATCTTTCGCTGTACTAATAAACCTATCATTAATAATTTCAGGAAATGCGAGAAAGAGAATCCAAATAATTTTGCTGTAGGCCACACTGTTTTCAGCTGATTTACTAAAAAAAATATGGCCTAACTTAATGTAATAGTTTATTTTAAGGAATATGTCATTAGACGGTGGTAAAATTCTTCCACAAATTTGGAATCCACATGCATGTTTTGTGAATAGTAAAGAAGCGGCAATTCACCGCAGTCCTTTTAGTAATATCTTTCTACAAATATATAGTGATGGTACCGTTTGGCACAATTATAGGTAAATTAATATTTCTTTTAAGTAAAACTGCTTTCGTTCATAAAATTTTTTGTATTCACATTTGCACTTTTTTATATTTATTTATTTATTTGATATTCGCCCTAAGATTTATTTGTATTCGCCTAATAAATAAGAGTTAAAAGTAATTTGACCCCTGTATTTCAAAATCACCGTGAAAAATTTATGGCTTTTTTCGAGAACACCATTCAGGGCATTTCTAAGCTATGTTATTCTCCTTATTATAAGAAATACCATTATTATAAGTACCACATTATATAAAAACATGTGAATTTGAAATTGATGCAAATTTAACGAGGGAATTTCCGGTTCACCTATAAAGTCATTAGGCTGGGAAATGATGAATTGATGGAAGTGAAATTTTATAAGGCCTTTGAATAATTTTTTTTTCTGACCCATTAAGTTCATTTTAAAAAGAAAAAATGAATAAAAATTATAAAAAGCCGGTGGTGTTGAACACTTCTACACTTTTCTCGCTCACAAAAAATAAAGGAATAATCCTAAAAGAAGTTTTTTCAGAATAAAACTAACAGGCCCATGCTCAAATGCACTACGAACATTTCCAATTGATAAACATAAATGTATGCTATTTTACGAATCATTTAACCACAATTATGAACAAGTACTATTTAATTTTATGAATTTATAGTGATTAATTCTCCGAATTCTTCTTTCAACGCCAATCGCCATTTCTGATTCCTCTGGCTCCTTTGGAGAGCGAGGCGCTTCCAAGTCTTCCGACTTACGTTGCGAACAGCATAAAATAACTTATATTTTATAAATGAAAAAAAAACTAAAAGCCTAGAAAAATTTTAATTTACAAAAATAATTGACTGGCGAATAATTCAACGTGGAAACTAAAATATCAGCAGTGTAAAAACATTTAAAATGGAATAATCCGATACAAAAATCACTTGAGGTATCGATGGAATGGACAGAAACTGCGCCTCCAATAACGATACTAAAGGAAAATATCACTTTACCTGATTATGTATTAATTGATTTCTCCGCTACGAGTATTAGAAGGGTAATTTCTTTCCTCAATAATGAAATAGGCAAAAAACAAAAAAAGTTGAAAAAAATCCTTTTTTAAATGGTGGCGAAATTTTCTTTTTTATGTTTACCGTTTCATACATATTTAAATAAGATTTTTCCTCAAGCTTTATCCGCCTGGCGTATGGAACGAACTCATTGCAACTTTTATTTTTCAACGGTTGTATGGATTTTATATTTTGCAAGTACGTTCAGTGATAATTTCCGGCAATAAATATGATTGATTTACTGAAAAGAAAACCGAAAGAAACATTTCGTCAAGTTGGAAAATTTCTAGAATATTTTTATTAAGAATATCCAAAAGAGTAAGAGAAGCAAATAAAATGTGTTAGCTAAATTGAAATTTTGTCCTTTGCCACCTTTTTCTTATTATTTTCGATCGCCAATAACCAAATCACCATTCACTACTTTGGTTCCAATTTCAGGTTTATGTCCCCGCTTATATTTCCGTATTTATTTCTTGGGTTTGTTACTTTCAATTATTTAAATTTGCCAAAAAATACAATAATACCACAAATTATAATTTCAACAACAGCATAAACGAATTTTTTATATTTTTCAATTGCTTTTCACTTGCTCAGCAGTAATTATGCATATACATACATATATGCCAAGATTTCAGGTCTCATTTTGCCTCGGGCCAAATAATATTCCTTCACGGACTACTCTTGGAGTTAATTCTCTCCTCGCTTTAACGTAACGTTCATCACCAATGATTTTATGAATATTTACAAAAAAATAACGAATTTTTCCCACTGCAAAAGTAGTGTAATCTGATAAGTATTTCTTCAAAAATTTATTACAATATTCGAGATCGCAACTGTACTGATATTTCAATAAAATTTTAGGTTTCAATTTGGCTCAGTTGTCAACAATTTGCCAAAAACAAGTGATGTCAAAGGTTATTTTTTTCGTTAATTTGCGATTCAATTTTCAATTTCTCTATGTTAATTTCGATCAAAACAAATATTGAAGTTGTTGAGCAAAGATTAACCATTAACCTAAATTTCTTCCAAATTTTAAAACCGATTTTAAGTTATAAACTTATAAACCTACTGTTCATTTGCCTGACAGAGGTCATCATCAAATCATCAAATTTATATAATTTTATAAAAATTTGTTTTGAAGTGGATATTACATAAGAATCTTCTTGATTTTTTCCCATTTCACAGCACTCATTTCTTTCTATTGGAGTTTGAAACCTTTCTGCTACTTGGGGATAGAAGCGCGGACAGATTCCATCATTCGCGTAATCATTCTTATCATCGCATTAAGAAGCATTCAACTGGTTTGCAGCGATAGACGTCTGGATATTGATATCGATGGCATTCATATTCGCTTCGTTGATTGAACTCGCTTTCGTTGGCTATCTATCGAAAAATGATTCAAACATCTCAATTGAGTAAATTTTTTCAAGTTTTTTTCGCCAATCGAGTTGAAATATTTGTGATCTTTTTAATTGAAATTTTATATTTTTTTTTCAGCTGTAAATGCTCAATCTTTTGTTTGAAATGTCCGACGTTAACTGCACGAAAGCTTGATAAGGTTCGCTTTTTACTATATACGATTATATGCGATGCATGATTTTTCATGAAAATTTAATGGATTGAAATTTAAATGATCCTTAGCTATTCTTTAAGCGATTTTGCCTCACATAGTGTAGATGAAAGATTCAAGTATCATAATAGGGGACGAAACGGCTCAATGGATTGCTCTTATTTCTGAGAGATAGTGCTGGGGTTCTACACCCGTCAAGTATACTTGTTTTCCAAAAGTACAGCTCTATTGCCAAATGACTCCATGGCAAAATTTCACCCAACATGCCAATGGAACGAGTCTAAGCAGAAATGGTGGGTGCTATTTAAAAAAGACCATAAATTAAATCAATTTCGGGCCAATATTTTTATAGCAAATTCCTGCTATATCTGAATAAAATGTTGATTATAACGAGTGCTAATATTCGTTGTGGTTGAACATTTTTTGAGTTTTAGAATTGATAAAGAGATTATCATTATTTTGATCAAATAATAACCCTTATTCATTTATCGTTCTAGTTATTTTTTCATTGCCATTCCAATTAGGCTCGTTCCACTCGCTGTTTTCAAGAGTGTGCATAAATTCCCAGCGCTGTGGGTCATTTTAGCGATTCTAAATGAGTTACCACATTGGAAACTGAACCAAAGTGACTGAAAATGCCGCGTTTCATTCACGCATACATTTAGATTTCATTAGGTAAAGTTATGGTTATGTGGTGATGTGGTGGATTGAAGTACATAATGATAAGAATTTCTCCTTCCGATGCCAATGCCATACCTTAAATTAACTAAAGGCACTCGTTTTCCCGTATCTCGATACCATCGTGCATTCAAATTCTTGGCAATATCGATCAAGATCTTGGCCAAATTTCCTTCGCTCTTTATGTCATCCATTTTTACATGTACTAAACTATACATTTGTTCATGAGATAGATAGATAGGAATTTTTGCAAAATTTTTACTTATTACTCTGGATGAATTGAAAATAATTTCGGAAATATTTCAGGTTTCATCGATAATATTTCCAATATTTTTTGTAATATTTAATATTTGGTACTGGTTTGTCTTTCTCGGGTAATTTCATAAATCCTTTCCTTTGATTTTTTTTCTTTGTTCGAAATGCTTTCTTCTTTTTTCGTGCTTATTCCTATGCTTAAAGTTGTTTAAATGATTCTTTCATTGAGTCTCATGATTTTTGCTTCGTCTTTTTCCAATGAAATGCACCATTTTTGATTTGAGTATCTTCATTGACTACCACAACGAACCATTTCCAAACATCGTATGTTTTACTTGTTTTATAGTTTGAAATCACCAGCAATCCAGTGAAAGTATGTTGAATGCTGTTAGTGAATAACTGACAATTGCATATCATTACTATATGTTTTATTGTTTTTTTATTATAGTATATTTGTATATTTTAGCTTTATCTTTATTAGATTAAATTCATTTTATATCCACAAGAAGTGAGATAGCACCATGGTCGGTGCTTAAATTATTGCTTCGAGCACCAGAGTTCAGTTCATTAAGAAATCCAGGCAGTGGTGTTCTATCGCCAAATTCTTTTTCTTCCGCAAAAATTTCTTACCGCACCAATAGATAGTGCTCGGTTTAGTGAAGTGGTGAGGGCAAATTATATCGGCACTGTGAAGATTTTTTTCGCATCTGCAAATCCTTCATTGCGTTCCTTTTTCTCAAATCTTTTTTTTATATTTTCATCATTTTATTGAATAATAAAAACGAATAGCGGTTGATTTTGCAATAAAACACACCATTCAAAATAATATGCAAGAAAAAAAAATTTAAAAATTATAATTATAATGTATATAATTATATAATTATAAAAATTATATGAATTCTTTGATAATTTTTCATTTAAATTCATTTAACTATCAAGAATAATTCGGATGGTTCAGAGAGTTTCTCACCGCGGTTTATTGTAGTGAATCAGATTGGAGTTAGATTTTATGATCTGCTCGCTCCCATTGTTCTAATTTAAGAACATTTTCGCATTTTCCTGTTTTCTTTTTATTTCCATATTTTCTAAGGAGTATTTTTATTTTGCGTTTTTGTTTGGGATGTAAACATAGGGAAAGGTTGAACACCATTGAAGATTTAAAACCTATTTTACCGAAAACTGAAAATATTAATCTCCTCGCTAATAATATGGCTGTATCGCTAATACTCATATTTTTCTCGAATATTTTTTCACTACGGCATCAGCAATACGAGCTGAATCATAGCGCATGATCCGGGCGCAGTTCGCTCACTGACTATATTTTCGACAAAAGCACTCCTTGGATTTAAGGATTTAAGTAAAACCAGTTTACTAAACGAGGAGCGCCATTTGAAAATATTTTATTATTTACCTTATAAATATAGCTATATATAGAACATTCGAAAAATTGCTTAGTTAGTGAATATGGAGCGCAGAGAATTCGGAGGAATCTTATGCATAGTAGTACTTCAGTGCGTCTTCAGCAAACGAAATAATCCTGAAAAGCATTCTCTAAATAGTTTTTAGTGATTTTTAGTCCGTCGAAACTAATTACTTTATTCGCAATTTCTTTTTCCCTAGCACATTTAACGAAGATTCAACGGGAATTGGCTAATGGGATTTGGCTAATCGTTATATTCCCATACTCGAATGATTCGCGATTTCCTTTTTAATTCATCGTTTTTTTAGTGAAAAATATTAAATTTGATTTAGATTTCATTCTCATATGAATTAATTTCGAGCTTTGTTTTCTGCTGAAAGAAAGAGGGATTTTAAAATTTAAGGTAAATTTAAATTAAAATTTTTCCTTAATTTCACGATTTCGTTCTTCCACATTGTTCCATTTTTTCATGCGAAAACAATTTGACGGTTTTAATCGAATTGTTTGATAAATATCACCGTTCAGTTACCGTTCAGTTCTTTGATTATAAAAATAAGTTTAGTTTTGAATTTCATAAATTGCCAAAATTTTTAATTGCTTTGAAAATGTCGCTTTGAGGAAACAACGTAGCGACACGTTTCAATTTCATTCGAAGGCAATTTTGAAGGGAATTTCGTTCCCACTTGAATTTTTCTCTCACACTTTGCCCACTAAGTATAAGTCAACTGAGGATGGCGAATCTTTCAAGTGTGCGATCCCATTGCTTTTGCCGATCCCATTGAAGAAGAAGTTCCAATGCATAATACAGCAACTTTCCTATTCGCCTTTCCTTCTTAATTTAATATTATTAGTTGCGTATGTTTGCTGTTCGCTTTAAAGCTTTTTCACCATTTGACCAACTTTTCAGCCAATCGTGGACACTAATCGCTTTAAAAATGATATCTTATGACTGAGTAATTTTCATTTTATAATTAAATGCTCTCGAAAATATTTATGGATTTTAACTGGAACTATGAGATTTTCTTTATTCTTTTATTCTATTTTTCTAGCAAATTCTAGCCAACTAGTAAAGCATTTCTTTTCTTCTATTCACCTCATCAGAGGCTTTTCAATAAATCTTCTTTTATATTTATTAATTTGGAGAGGATTTTTCTACTTATTTTAAATTTTTGCATCGCTACTGCAGTGGTTTTTCACCTTCTCACCACATGTAAGTATAGAATTCTCCTTTCCCTCCACTCCCTGGTTACCTAAGTTGAGAACCTCTCCCTTGCTGATGTATGCATGTTAATTGCATAAATTGCATAATATTGCATAAATATACCGCACAAATGTGACGTGTGACGTGACTATATATTGATATACTATACTGATTTATAAATTGGTTGGAATTTGTGTTATTATTATTCATTCATTTTCTGCTTTTTCTCTTATTATTTGTTAAATTTTCTCTCTATGCTTTTTTTTGTTGTCGTCATGAAATTTTGTAAGTATTCTGAGTTATTTATAACAAATTATAGTTCAAAAAGCCAAGCGAATTGCTGATAAACAATCTGAATGTTATCAAATGTTATCAAATACAGGAGCGAAGAAAAATTGTGTCGTTGCAGTTCAGTTTTCATAATTTTAAAAAAGAGAAAAAAAATTTAAATGCTATTAAAAAACAAATTAAACGATATTTTAAATAATAAAAAACCTTACTGAAAGCAAATATATTCATTGAGGAAATTTACAAATCATTAAAATCAAACGACTTGCATTTCGAAGGTTTTTCTGAGAAAATAGAGTTAGAAATTTTCTTGACGATTGAAAGAGTTGAATGCGCAAAATTTCGGAGCGCCAATGCCGAATGCCAAGATTATATTCCCCGCCGGAGCAAGTTTGTTCGAAAATACGGATGTTGCTAGCGACTCCTCTGCACCTCTATCGCCAAGGGACTCCCTGGCATATCTCTCCAGTGTGACAAACCAGCGGAGCGAGTTTAACTAGTAATGGTGAGGATTCTTAGAAAAAAAAATCATTGGTAAATAGTTCTATTATGGCATCGATAATTCTTTATGTTTCAAGTGGTGAATAAAAAAGAGTTCATTGCTTCTAACTAAACTACTTCCACTAAACTGGTGTTGCTGATATGATTAAAAAATATTGCAAGGAAGTCATTTGGCGGTGCAAATTTATTGTTCTTATTGTTTAGCACATACATAGTGAATAAACAAATAAACGAGAAAAAAATGGAGGAAAACTTTAAAAATATTTCGAATAAATTTTATATTTCATAAGGAATAAATGATGTCGGAAAGAAATTAACTAATAGTCGTTATTCCTGTTCATTAAACGTCATTCCATTTCAAATAATTGTTCTTCTTACAAAATAGATCATGAAATTTGCCAACTATTTTCTGTGAATTGTCTTCAATTCTGGTTATTCGAGAAATCCTTTTCTTCCTTCCTTAATTTTCCCATTTTCTCAAATATTAAGTTTCGATTTATTCCAGGAAAATTTTCGTAAAAATTTTATGATTAATTTTCAGTTAATTTTCGACAAATTTTGTCAAAAACTTTATTTTTTGTTGAAATAATTTTTCAATCAAATTTTATATAAAATCCTTTTTCTTTTCATATAATGCCTCATATATTCGGACGATTTATCTCACCAATATTTATTTTTCTGAATGAAATCTTTCAATCAGAAATTCTTTAAATTCTTCTGAAAGTCACTTATGGATTCCCACTGATCCCACTGTTACAGTGCTGCATTTACATGGCACTTTTACCAGAGAATCCCTTATAAAAAGACTGATATGCGGACACCTCTCTGGAAAAAGAGGTCCTCGGATTTTAATGATAGTTGTACTACTGACACCAAGAGATAGAAATTTACAACAATATTTATAGAAGTGGTGCTTAAAATCTTCTCCTTCTAACATCTCTCACCATTACTGGTTAGGTTGGCTCCAATGAGGGTAAGACGGTTCCAAGCGGCGCGGTCTGATGATATCAACAGTAATGAAAGCCATTCCTTTTTCCATCGTCTAAGTCTATATATTGCTGGTCTACTTATACGTTCAAAATTTTTTCTCACCGTATCAGTCCAGATCTTGATTGGCCCACCTCGCTTTTGACCATCAAATGGTTTAGCAAATAACGAAATATGCGCCAACTCCAGTGCTTAACGACGGAGAACGTGCCCTAACCACCGATGGTGACCACTGATGGCTCTGTGATAACATTATTTATGCAAGTTTATTTGAACGAAGGTGGATGTGATCATGTAATATCTTATCCGCTCGGCGGATCAGTAATATGTACCTTAGACAAGAATAGTCAAAGGCAGATAACTTCATAATATCCTCCACTCTCATTGGCCATATCTCAGAATCATATAGCAAGATTCGAATGAATACTAGATACGGATTTTCGTTTTTATGGTGATTTCACAACAAGGACGTCTCCATAAAGGACGTCAACCGTAAGAATGCATTTCTAGCTGCCGTGATCCAGGCTATAATATCGTCTTTTGCCTGGCCATTTGGTATTAGAGTGGACCCAAGGTATTTAAAATCGGGTACATCCTCGACCGGCAATGAATTGGCAAAAAGAGGCATTTTATCAGCTTTTTGCACATAAGACGAAAAGACTCGTTTTATTTACATTAATCCTGAGTCCAATTCTCGCTGCAGTTGCTGACACATTATTATTTGCATTTTATAATAACTGTCAGTAAAAAGGACTACATAATCAGCTTATTCAAGATTTGTGATACGATGTTCTAGACTTATTCGGACACCTCTTGAGTGCCAACAAGCATCGTCCAGTTATCGTCCAGTTTATTGAATATTGTAAGGGAAAAAACGCAGCCTTGACGGATATCGGTTCTTATTTTGAAGGAATTTGTTCCCCATATAACAGATCTGCACCGACGTACGCTGACAAAATGTCTCTATAAGTCGAATGATCTTCTCTGGAAGACCGTTGCGTTCTAGTACCCTCCAAAGCGCTGTCCTATCAATTGAATCGTAGGCAGTCGTAAAATCGATGAAACAACTTAAATATTTGAAGCGATGCTTCAACACCTTTCTTAACGTGAATATCTGGTCAGCACAACAGCACCCCGGCCTGAATCTTGATTATGGCGCATCTTGCAATCCCGTACTGCCATAAGTCCATAAGTTTATTGAGTAAAAGAGAAGCAAAAATTTTTACTTATACGTCTAGTAGGCTGATTCCTCGATAATTGTCGCAGTATATCCTTTATCAGAAAATGGGAGCAGAATTGCTTTGCTCCAATCATCTGGTAATATTTCTTTTTTCCATACTAAAGAGTACATTTGTTGAAGGTGCGTTATGAAGGATGATGGACAGCATTTGAAAAGCTCACCCCGAAGACCATCTTCTCCTAGAGTTTTGTTGGCCTTAAGTTTATGGATAACTGAAATTATTTCTTCTGTTGGAGGCTCGCAATTGCAAACGTATGTTTCGGCAAACGTATCAGCTATATCAGGGGCAACAGATGGCGCTTCCTGGTTAAGTTTGGCCTCAAAGAATTCTTTCCATCTTATGACGCGATCCTTAATACTTTTAATTAGTACGCCATTGTTGTCTCTTACCATTTCACTGATCGTTCCCCGAGTCATATTGCCCTTTATGAAGAAGGCAGAATAGTTTTCTATTGTCGCCTAATCGAGCCGCCGCCTCCATTCTTGAAGTCATGTCACTCCAATAGTGATTCTTATCCTGCCTTGCTGCTTTCGTTGCAAATCTTCGAAGTATCCGGTAGTCACCCAACATTCGTGCTGTGGCAGCTTTTTCAGACAATTGGACAATTTCTTCCGATACCCAACTATCATACTTCCTACTAGTATGCCCTAGCGTGGAAGTGGCTGATTCATTTAGTTTGGACCAGTCTCATTTGTCGTTCCAGAAAAATCATTAATATTTGTATTTTTACTGAGATGCTTTAATAATTCGGTTTGAATGCGCTCGCTGTCCCCGAATTTCTTAGTTTGATATAGTTGAAGGATCTTGGGGGATGCTGTTTAAAATGTCAATTTCTGTTCAAAAACATTATAGGATGATAGATTAATTTACGATAAGCAAGCAAGGAGATATGAAATGATCATCTTGATTTTTTGCATTTTCAGATAAAGCGCACTTAAATTCATGTCTTTAACAATTTTTCATTTGTTGGTACTATACTATTCGCTATTGAAGACAAAAGTAAATCCTTTTTCTCTTGTTTTGATGTTTCAAAAAATGATATGAATTTTGTTTATGGAAAAATAATTTCTAATTGTGAAATTGGATTTACGCCATCTTTCAGAATTGAATTAATTAGTTGGCAAATGCAAGGAGGAAGATTGGACAAAAAAGGAGAATATTCCTATCTAAAACGATTTTTAATTTCAAAACTAAATAAAGACGAGTAAAATTTCAGATTTTAGCCCAAAACTTGAATTCACCGTTTTCCGATATATTTGGAAGACAACCTTTTATCTTTAATGATGGATCGCCTAATAATCAAGCATACATTTCCATGTATCAAAACGAACATACACTTCGAAATATTTTGTTGGTTAATTGTCTTACTTACTTCATAATAATTTACTTCATAATTCATCCTCTTTTTAAAAAAATAAGAAATTTTTAATTTTACATAATCCTTTCGTAATAGGTCCACTTAAGTCTTCTGGTATAAATCGTTTTCAAATTTATTTTTACAACATTTCGAGGAAAATGGTCATTTAGATGACAAAATCACTAAAAATAGTTTTTTATATATAATGGTTTAAAAATTATATGAATTATACAATTTTCTATTTATTGTAGAATTATTAATAAAACAAATGCAAATTTTCGTAACGTAATTTTTAAGGCAGCCGGTACCACAGAAGCCAGCATTTAATCTATTATCACCCGGTCTTACCAACGCCAACGATTCAAGTAACAATTCTAACCATTTATCATTTATCATTACATGTTTACATTCAATATTTCAGATCTTAAATTGCCAATATATTGGCTTTTGGCTAAATTATAACTTATCCTCATCAATTCATTCAGAGCCAAATGGACCAACTTTTCTAAGAAATTTATCAAATTTTGCACCATTGCAAGCGTCCAGTAACAGTAAGAATGACAATGATAAAAAAGATAATGTTAGTATTTTTTTTCAAAAATTAATCGTTTTTATGTGAAAGATTTTATGCATCGAATTTTATTATTAAAAATCTGTGACGTAAATTGATATACTAGTATGTTCAGTAAGGAATCCATCTATTTCCTTCAAAATTTGTCAAATTTTTTCAAAATTCTTCTCAATCACAGTAAAATATAGGATCCTCCATCTTAAAATTATTCCTCTCCATTCTTATTCCTCTTCCTTGGCTCTCAAAATATTGATACCTTTTAAAAGTTGCACGATCTTTCAAACTCTGCTCTGTCTCTTTATTTTGCATGAATGAATTCCTATGATCCCAGTATTTTGAACAGTTCTTTGGCTAGCAGATTTCTCAGAAACATTAAATTTCTAAAATCCTTTTAATCCTCTTCAACCCTTATCAAAGAACCGCATTGCGCTGTTTTTCAGACAAGGCTGTAACGACCTCATGAACTCCCGTATTATTGCATTAAATCTCTCCAGCCCTTATTATCCACCAGTGCTCGTTACACGTTTGCACACCGCCTACAAAATCTCGATCTAACGTGTTCGACTCCTTTGATAATTCTTAAAATTTCTCGCTTTATAAAAATCTTCTTAAGCTCTATCAAATATTTTTTTAACATACTCGCAGTTTCACTCCACTCTTTGGCCATGATCCATTAGTAATACCATTTTAAATCCCATTTTATTATACTTTAATACAGTCAGACTCCATTTCGTCTTGATACTCCTTCAAACCTCACGATGCATCTTCGTCTCAACATTTGCAGGTTGCAAAATTTAGAACCACCATGATAGGAGATATTAAAGGAGTGACGAAATTTGAGAGAATTATAGGGGTCTGGCGAGTTTTAAAATAGTTCATCAAGATTCGAAGGGATGTGAAGGAATAGTGAGGAAATATAAGGTACGTTTTGAAGACAATCCGTAAGACAAGTAATAAGATGACAGTGCCATATATTATGCATAATTTTGAATTTTATTATCAAATTTTAGCATGAAATTTTTTAAGCGGACCGAGAGAAGTGAGCCCCTTGGACGAAATGTGCTTGGCAAACTTGGCGCTCATCGTTACGACCACTTGCATGCAGTGCATTCGCATAATTCGGCAGCTGCTTCCACCTTGAAATCGAACAATCTGCCGAGTATCTCTCAGTACAACTTAATTAAAATTATTATCAAAAAATAGTCATTGAATTTAAAGAAAAAAGATGTGGAAAAGATTTTCTCAAAGTGATCACTGAATTATATGTTGGTATTGCTGCTGTTCGCAAACGATACTGTTTCGACCCTTCACTGCATTAACACTAAATTATTCTCGTAAAGCTTAAAAAATAATTGGAGATGAGAATATGAATAACATTCTTCTAGGAAGAATATAAACCAATCTTTTAGGAAAACAAATCTTTTTAGAATTAAGTTGTATATTTATATTTAGAATATGGTCCGATAAACGATTCGATGCAAACCTCGCACGAACTGGATGCGTCACTATTTGATGCGTCGAAACGGGCAATAAAACTTAAAAAGGTGAATTTCAACCAAGTCGGTTAAAACGAATTAAACTATTTCACTGAAGTAATTTAATAAAATATCACTGAAAAATAAAAATTTATAGTTATATGTAGGTTAGGAAATAAGAAAATTTCATAGAAACCATTTGGTAACAAAATCAAATTTGATAAGATTTTTATAATAAAATTATTAATAATATTAAAATTAATCGTAAATTTAGAAGAGTCGAGGAATGTGGATTTGCGTTAAATGATTTCGTGATTAACTTTATTCAATTTTAAAGTAGACGAAATTTATTAGAGAATTTGCATTTTGCATAAAATTGGGAGACATTGGTTCAGTCTCTTACAAATTAATCTTCCTCGCACACTTATTATTCAAATTCAAATTTGGAGAGATCTTAAAATCTCATTTATAGCGTTTATCAACAGCACCAAAGAGTCTCTTCAAGTATGAAACTTGTTAGGTTCTCCACATATTTAATGAATTTAACTCGTAGTCATTAATGACTAGATTGGTTCTGCTGGCTACAAGGGTTTCCAAGCTACTCGATTTTTTTAAAGAGTCTCCACTGGCTTGTCGCATTGGGCAATAAGCCAGGGAGTCCCTTGGCGATAGAAATACAGGTAAGTCGCCAGCATCACCCGGATTTTTGGACAGGTTCACTCCTGCAGGAAATAGAACCTCAGCATCGGCATTCCCAATTGAGCAACAACCCACTGAGTCATTCTATCCCCAGTTATTCGATTTATAGAGAACCTATTATTGCGATCAAAATTAAAAATAAACCTAAAAATAATAAAATAAATCAACCTTAAATCAAAATTTAAGGTTTCATGGATACAGTGGCTTTAAAACTGGAGGAAGATTTCATTTCACTTAATATGTAAAATTTTTTACATTTTTCAATAGAGTTCGATTTGCTTGTAGTACAACCATCTAAATAAAATATTAAAACGATGGCGAGCGGTTATCTTGTTATCTGATCTTTCTTGAACCTTATATCAGGATTGAACCTTATATCAGGATAAAAGTAAAGCCTCATATAGTTACCTCTGAATAAGCCATTCGAACTTATTGGTACACATAATTTTTCAATTTCTTTCTTTTTAAGAGCGACACATCAGCGACAGAAAAATCACAAGGTGCTGAACGAGAACCTCATGAGATAATAACATCCGAAACGCATTTGAAATTTGATGAAAGTCGAATCGGAAGTTATAAATCAGGATGGAATTCGAATGAAAATTATGAAAACAATTATGATATTGATGACAGAACTCAAAATCTTATTGATGAATTATCAACAACTTTTTACCCAGGTGAACAATTATATTCTTCTTCCTCTAACATCACATACCATTGATTTGATAAGCTCTTTTGGCTGGGAGGATGAAATGTTTTTTCAAATTCTTTGATAAAATTATTTGCTGATCAACAGAGAAATAAATTTTGTGAATTATTGCTGAATTTTTTTAAATTTTTTTTGAAAGGGAGACATATCGAAATTCCGTGCACAGCGGAAATACTGATTCAAATAAACTTCATCACCGCCGATTCAGACTATGAACAATTTTCCAGTACATTATAGAAAAAAGATGAATGATTTTCTGAGATGATAGTCAGCATTCTGACATCCGGAGATTCTTGATAAAAATTAAAATCAAAAGTAAAGGGCAATTTTTATTTTTCTAAAAGTACTCACAATTTAGTTAGGCTGTTACGGCTTACTTCTTCTTCCAAGCTCTCACCATTACTGATTAGGCTGACTCCAATGGCTTAAGACGCTTCCAAGCGGCGCAGTCTGATGCCATCGTCGACATTGATAGAAGCGATTCCTTTTTCCATCGTCTAAGTCCATATATTGCTGGTCTATTACTATACCAAAGCGAATTATAAAAACAATTTCAAACGCTCAATTTCCGCAGAAAATATGAATTTACAAACACTTATGTAAACACAATTTGGGATGATTTCCTCGGTTTGCTTGGTAAAATATTGGTAATATGAAATTCGTTTTGAAGAACTAAACAGTATAGTACTGAATAAGTCGATCATTTTGGATATAAATGGCAAAAAACCTGATATACTACCTATGTACGACAGCGAAGCGCAGATAACTCAGATCACAACAACAATCCTCAGTTAGTTTTTTCATATTTCTTCTATTTCTATGAGCACTCTCTCCTTCGACTGTCTTCACTTACTACGCAGCATACAGACATTTCGGCCACAGATGGATCTACAGTACCGGCTTTCTTTTTCCGTGAAAGATTTAGTTCCCAAGAGACAGGAATCGAATTTTGATGATACATATTCCCATTTTAGAAGCCATCACTATGAAATATTTTGAATTTCACGGAACCAATCGACATGATTAGCTGAAAGTAAATTTTAGTCGATAATTAAGCATTATATGAGCATTCTTAATGGCATAATAAATTTTAGAAATAGACGAGTCAGATAACAATCCGTTATCATCAACTCATTTAAAGAATTTATCAACACATAAGAACAAATCAGCAGAGGTATTCATTTCTAAGTAAAAAATCACATATAATTGTCTTGTAGTAAAAATGCTATTTCCTTAATTTACACGGCTTTTTCTGGAAATTCAACTGAGGGGAACCAAGTTTAACTGGGACTTTTATTTTAGCATTTAGAGCTTTTTAGCGTTCAGTAAGATAATAGTGCAGCCAAATGTACCTTTACGCTTTTCTGAATCTAAAAACTTTGTCAGAAACCAGTGTTGCCAATGACAACATTCGAAAAGCAAGCATATGATTTTCGAAGTCGATTGGAAGGAAACAATGGCTTTAATGATTTCTTAAAAATGCTCGAAAATGCTAAAATCGGTTTCTTTAGAAGGTAATTATATATAAGTTATATTCATACAAAGTATATTAATAATTGCTACAAAAATTGGAAAAAAAAAGATTTACGAATTTCAGATCGGAATAATTATTTGCGAACAACATTTTTATGAAATTTGCGAAATGGCTGAAAAAAAACAAATGAAAATTAATCGACTAATTTCAGTTAGATCTTTGGCTAAAATTTCTTATCTTAGTTATTAATGGCAGCAGCCAAATCTCCGCGCAAAATCTTCAATCTCCAAAAAAAAAGAAAAAAGATTCCATAATTTTCATTTTCTTCTACATTTTGATTTATTGAACTTAAAACAAACTAACAATAAAAAATTATTCAATATTGTTAATTTTTACATAATAAAATAGTTTGAACAAGGCAATTTTTGAAAAAAAATTAATAAATTAAAATATATATGCTAAACACAAAAACTAATATTTATATTTTACAGCCTTCCGATTGAGTGAAATTCAGCGATCCCTCTTCTTTAAGCTTTTTCAATACAGGTGTATATAAACTTTCAGGAAGCCTATAACCACCTATATTTCGACTGCCGACGGTTTTGTTGAGTGACCTTTATTAAATCGGCAATTTACAATATTTACTAACATAATAAACCGAATATTTATAATAATAATATAATGAACCGAATAATAAAACAAGTGGAAACAAGGATCTAAATAGGGACCCACAGCAGGAAACGAGTACCTGGAAAATAAGGGTCTAATCAAAAGGATTAAGTTCTAATTCAATGCAGCCTCACACAATATTCGCTATGAATTATTTTATAAAATAAGAGATTCTGAAATTTCTTGGTGGATAAAATACGCTATTAATTACAAATTTCAAATAACTTTCAGTTTTTCTTATTTATAAATTTTAAATTTTCTTTGCTAAATAACCATTGAAAAAACTCACACCTTTTAAATTCTCGTTCTTTTGTTAAACACTGCCATACAGCTTCATGAAAATAACTGCAACCACCAAAAATTTTTGCTAAAATAAAAACTTCTTGGAAATCGTAAATTAATTCCTCAAATTTGAAGCAAATAAAACTCCTTTAATTTAACATTTTATCATTTCATCACTTTATCACAGCACCTTCGGCAGAAAATGGCAATGGCAAATAAAAAGTTATATTTATAACTTTTTGACGAAAAAACTGTAAATAGAACTAACCAAAAGGTTTTTGCTGTTCGCATTCTTTATAGAGATCAATCAAAAAATTGCATTCCAGAGTGTGTAAGTGTGATGACAAATCAGGAAGCATCTAAACATAAAAATATTCCGATTATTCAAACAAAATCAAAGATCCACTGGCTGCAGCCTTGCTAATGCCTTATCAGTGAAGTGTGGCTTTCTTCTTCTTTTTGCTGCCGTAATATAAATTGAAACTAAATCTCTTACATAATTAAACATTAATTTAGTCAATAATACACAAAGATTACGAAAGATCACAAGAAAAAAAGGAAGAAGAGAGACAAGAAAATGTGAGTTATATGAGTCCTATGGACTCACGGCGGTCAGCTATATTTCGCCTATCTTTTCACCTCACACGCTCGCAACGTTTTTTACGTGATTAACAACGTGATTATGCGAAAAAAATAAGTATATATACGTAAATATTTTCGAAATTGAAATAAACTTAATAAAGCAAAATATTCCGAAAAATAATAAAGTCAAAGAAATAAATTATAACTTCGGTAAAAACAAATATCGAAACAAAAAAACACAGCGTGGCGACCCACAGTACCCATCCAAATTTGAAAGCTAATGGTTGATGAATTATTTCTGGGTAGGCGGGGTGGTCGAAAAGAATTACACCGATTGGCGAGCCACAGTGACCCACAGCGACCCATTTGCGCACCCGAATGACTCTTTGGCAAAAAACTAATAGGTAGTAGGCCCAATCGGAAACAGTAAAAGATGTGAATAATATTTTGAAATCTGGCGAAGCTTTTCAGAAGAAACTGAGATGTCTTGAATGGCGAAAGATAACCTTTTTCGTTACTTAATTGCTAGCCAAAACTAATATTTTATATCGCTTCTTTATAAACAAATAATATTTTTATCAGAATAAAATTTTGAACAAATGGGAAAAATAAAAATAACCCCCGTACGAGTTTTAAAAAGACCGACGTTTAGAGATTCGGTCGATATAACGCTCGGTCGCATAATCAATAATATAAATATTTCTTATTTATCGCGCATTTTTGTTTTTTCTTTCTTATTTGTCGCGCATTTTTGGTTTTTCGCCTATTTCATTCGAATTTTCTCTTTTTTTCATTTGAAGTTTTTTGTTTGTTTGTTTCAATCCGAAAAATCAGTTTTTTAAATTCGCACATTTATTTCGTTTTATTTCATTTTTTTAAAAAAATATAAACAAAAATGAAAATCTTTTTTTAAAATTTGTTTTTTCAGTTTTCAAATTTCAGTTTTTCCTTAAAAGTTTTCCGTATTTTTGAATATTTTTTAGCATCAAAATTATTGAAAAATCACATTTTAATTTTTCCACATTTTAATTGAAATATTTTGGAATAAAAATAAGAAAAATCCGAGGCTTTGCCAGCCGTATATTTCCGCTGGCTTCGTGCGGTTGTCCGGGAGGAATTTTCATGCAAATTTTCCAAGTGGCCAGTGGAGGAGAGGCGAAGCCGAGCTGATGAATTTTATTCTGAAAATTCAAAGCCTTCTTACTTCAATTTATTTCATTTGATTTTTTTTCATTTATTTTTTGTTTTTCCTTTGATATTTCATTTTTTATGCGCGTTTAGTTCTGAAATGAAATCGGTAAAATTAGAAGAATTTTTTTTTCGCATTTTCATTTAGCTGATTTATTTATTAAATTCGGTCAGTTGTTTAATTGATTTATTGGATGAGATTCTTTAATTATAACTGTTTGAATTTCTTGCTTATCAATAATTTAGTGATAACGAGATTGATAATAATGTAATAGAATTTCAGCGCATTAATGCTTCATTTTAATGCTTCATCGAATATAATTTGATTTTGAAAAAATGGTCGATTCCCCAAATAATGTTATGCAATCATCAAACACGAGTAGTGCAAGCGCTGGTGAAGTAAGTCTCTTTTAATTTTCTGTTTTTTTGGTTTACATATTCGTTTATTTATTTATTTAACGTGTTATCATATTGATGTTAAAATGGTGCGTGTAAATCTAAAAGAGATTATTTGAAAAATCCATGAAAAAAGTGAAAGGAAAACAATAATCTTAGCAGTAGCAAAATAGCTGTTTAACTCCAGTGAGTTGGGGTTCTTCTTCTTTTAGCTGCTCTCGCCACTACTGCTTTAGCTTCACTGGCTAGCGTTTCCAAGCGTCTCGTTCATTGTTGTTTCTGAGTTGAGATTATTATTAACAACTTATTATTAATATTATATGAGGGCAAAAGTGGTGTTTTACTAAAACCATCATCATGGTTCGTACATCTTAGTGAGAAAAAACTTCGTCATTGAAAGTCAGTTCTGGAGTTCTGGATGGTACTAGAGATCTATCTGCAGTTCTATCCACGGACGAATCAATATGGAACCATAAATAAATAAATAGTATGCAAATGTAATATATAATTTATATCTTTCCAAGTCCTTATTTATTTTCACCGATTTCCTAAATCTAATAGGCACTTTGTGTTCCAGTAGTGTCCCTGTCAATATCTTATAAAGGTAATGAGAAATATCTTCATTTTTGGTTGATCTAAGCGTTAATTTTGACAGTTTTACTTTATATTGTTTCTATGATGTACTTTTTTTAGTTCGAATATGGAAATTTCATGGGCAATTTTTTTTTTCTGACACACCACTTCTGGTTAGGCTTATCCCTCTAGTTTGTCGGATTAGAGAGCTGTTGGACAATCAATAGCACTATTAATGCTATCGATCTTTTAAATAGCCTTACATCCACTTTATTAATATTCCTCAGATTGTTGGTAATGGTTAATCTTCTTTTTGACACCATCGCCAAAGCTCTAATTAAATAAAATTAATTATGATATATAAATTCGATTCAGTCGTGGAGTTTTTGCCCATTGCCTTGGAGACGCTACTCCATATTGGAAGATAGATTGTAGGCGTCCATATAGCTTTAAAAACGCTCTCTATTATTCTGCAACGTAACTGATTATGAGATTAATAAGTCTGTAAGTTTATACGCCTACTTTCCTATGCCTTTTTGAAGATCGGACCGTCATTCCAGGCTTTCGGGTTGAAACCAATCTTTAATTAAGAATAAATGCTGGAAAGATTGCATATTTTTTGATAAAATATTCTCAAACAGAGTAAATGAATTAATACACATCCAATAAACATCCACTGAAATGAATTTAACTGTTGTCTAAAAAACAGGTATTTTTAGATCATAGATCTGTTGTTTCCATCTGCATCATTGTATTTTTATAAACCAGTAATTCAAGATTGTTATTAATTATGATTATTAAGCTTGTTGTTGGTGAAATTCTCTTTTTTATGTCGCCGGCCAATTAAGCTTTTGTTGTTGAACGTCAAAAATCACGCATTTTACAACAAAGTGCACATGAAAAGGAATGCAGCGCGATCTTAGTGCAATTAAAAACTGAATCAGTTAGACAAAGAAGGAAAACTCTGGTTTATTTACTCGAATATTGGGAGAGTGATCGAAATAATGCTTGAAAGTCTCGTTTAGCAGTCCAACAAGAGTAATTATCACAAGCACTTGTGATTTATGAATGCTGAAATGCTGTCTTTTATGAAATTAGTGGTGTGAACCATACATTTTGTTGTTATTGGTGTTTATACTTTCATTAGTGAAAGGAAAGAAAAACGAATCTTTATCAAAATTATTATGGAAAGTTCAGGTAGTCTATGGCGCATTTGGGTCACTGGCATCGGGTGATGATTCTCGAGTTATGTCAGAAAAAGTGCAGCTTTTAGCATCATCCATATATAAAGAATTCGAAGCGATGATCCAAAAAAGTGGCGAAGATTGTGTTAAGGTCCATTTTTTTCTTTTGCTTTTCTTTTTCTCATCGTTTAAAATGCTCTGCTGAATCGAAATTTAAAGTTTATGTCATGCTTTTCAAGAAGTTCTTGGTTTATGTATTAAATTTAGAATTTGATGCCATTAGTTGTCAATGTATTGGAAAGTTTGGACTTGGCTTACTTAGAAAAGGAGGAATATTCAGTCGATTTAGAAATGCTAAAAGAAGATAATGAACAACTAATGACACAGTATGAACGAGAAAAACAACTACGGAGAACGCAAGATCAAGTGAATTTTATCGATTCAGTGTATATTTAATATATATTTTATAATATACATTTTTTAAAAATTTCTTTCACGTTTTTCGTTTTGCCGTTACCATTTTAGTCGGTGAGTTTATTATTAAATCATTCACTCTTAAATAAAAAATGGGCGCAAAAAACATTTAAACAATATTTTTTCCTTTGAAAATACCTTTTATTTTTGTTACATTCCATGCTAAATGTTTTGTTTTTGTAATATTTATTTTGTTAAAAAATGAATTGAAATGCGAAACTGAAATTGAACTAAATATTTTTATTTTCATTTCACATTTAATTTCATAGTTCATTATTTTTCTTGAATTATTTTGAAAAATTATTTATGATTATTCAGTTTTATCAGTTCTATTTTAGAAATGCCTTGAGATCGAGGATGGTCTTATGGAGCAAATTCGAAATTTGGAAAGTAAAATTGAATCATTAGAATCGATAATGCGTATGTTGGAACTAAAGGCGAAAAATGCGTCAGACCATGGTAATATTTATTTGTTGTAAGGCAGATGTTTTGCAAATCCCATGTTTTTTAAATAAAATCGTCGCAAATGGAAAAATAATTTCCGATTTTCAGCTATTCAATGTCCTAAAAGTTTCAGAATTTAATATTTTATTTTATCAGCTATTAATTTTCATCACCAATTCAATTTCAGCATCACGTTTAGAAGAACGTGAAGCAGATCAAAAGGCTGAATTCGATAAACTGCATGACCGATACAATGTGTTATTGAGAACACATATCGACCATATGGAGAGAACGAAATATTTGATGGGTAGCGATAAGTTTGAGTTGATGCAAAATATGCCATTACCTTCTTATCACCTTCGAAATAAGTTAGTTTTTCAGTTAGTCCTGAACTTTTAGAATTTGCTTAGTGAACATCGGTAAAAAAAAAAGAGTTTATTAAAGAATTTCAGTAAAAAATTAATTTTTAAATAATGGTAGTTAATTTATACGAAAGTTTTGACGAACTTATAATTTTTAATTTCCGCTGGTTTTTTACGAAAAGTTTTCCCATTGTTAATTTAAAATCTAATAAATATATTGTTCTAGTCGATATTTACCATTCTCATCATTTGCTGATCCCATGTAAGTTCTCTATTAGGTGTTCTTTTATCAATTTTGGTGAAAGATTCAGTTTAATAGATTTGTTAAGATTTTTTGAATTTTGGTTGCCTAAATATTTTAGTTTCATGAAAGTTATACATTAATAGGTTATTGCTTTTATTTTTTTAATTTTTCCAGTTTTCATAAGGCTTAAATTATTAGTTTACATCATTCTTTATGATTTTTAGTTGTTTTTTTATTTTTTGCACTTTTTGGGGTAAAATAAATCACATTACAATTTAGTACTGAAAGCTTGATCCTTTTATTTTTCTCTATTTTTAGATCTTGAAGCAGGATTTGTTATATTTCTTATTTTCCTACAATATCCTTTTGTTTTTATGGAATTAATTTATTTATTTTATTTATTTATTTTATTTTTCGTATAAATTTTCAATTAAATTGGCTTTTTTCTGGGGTTTTTTTAATTGTATTTTCTTTTAAAAATTTTATTTTTTGCCATAATTTAAAATTTATAGAAATTATTTTCCTCGAAATCTCAGCTTAATAATGATTTCACCACATGATCTCTTTGAATTTCACTTTTATAATTTAATAATTTTTTGAGAAAAGTGTAAAATTCCGTTTTTCTTGAATTTTAACCTTGTTGAGGTTTTATCGGATTCTTTTTATTTCTTAACTTGTAGCATAGAACCTTTAGGATGGGAATGGCTGCTTCAGTTGATGCATCTTCGATTCGTGGTGTTTCTGATTTAATTAGTGCACACATGTCGCAGAGTATAACAGTGGATGTTAATTTGGCTAATCATATCAGTAATGAAGGTAAAGGTTAATTATTATTTTTTATAAGAGCCTACAAATATAAATCTGGTAGTCATTATATCATTTGTAGCCGATTGGCAAGAGGAATTTGGGCAAACTGGTACCGAAATTTTGCAATCGCCTCGTGATGATGCTTTATCAGTGGCAGAGTCACCTCGAAATGAAGCAACTGAAGCAACTCAGGAAAATACTGTTGTTCCAGGAGCGGTTGAAACGTAAGTATCAGTCATCACATCGATAATATCGCATAACATTTTCAAATTCCATAAAAATAACTTGCAGGTATTACGACGCTGACGACACTTTAGGAGCTGATCTTACAGGTGACATTTCAATCTTAATTATTTTTCTTATTTTATGAATTTTTTTTTGATTATTTTCGGATATATGAATGTGTCTTCTCCTATATTATACTGAAATTTGTACTTTATTTTGGGTTCGATTCTTGAATGTAGATCACGAGAGAGATTCTTGGATTCTTTGAATTTTTTTCTAATGACTATAGATTTCTTGTTTTGCTTCTTTTTCTAATATCTTTTGCATTTTTTAGTTATATTTGTTTTTTAGCGGACAAAAAGCCTTGGAAATTGGTGTTACATTTTGATAAAATTTATTTACTTGACATGAAATATTTTTATAACTGCCACTTTCCAACAAATTTCTTTTATGGTTTTATGGTATTTCTCGTCATTTGGTTTTTTATGTTTAGTGAAATTTGAACTTCTACATAGCGTGAATATTCTATTTGCTAAATTAACTGTTCACACTCACAGTTCCTTTTTTATATTCTACAGGGGCCATAGTCGATCCAGCAGAATTTGCATCAGCTGGTAATTATTATTTTTCAATTGTTATTTTTTTATTTTTTTTATGATTTTCTTTTTTTGGCTTTTTAAGGTATTTCTTACTTTGCACATATTGCTTTTCTTTATTTTTTCAATTTCAAATTATTTCGCAAAAATAACTCACAGATACTATTTTATTGAATATATTTTGTGGTAAATTGTTCGCCATCTAAAATTCCATTCTGTTTTCCACAGAACTAATAATTGTTTAAAATTCAAAGATTCACTGCATGATTATTTACTTTATTTTTAGATTCTTCACCCATAATGTGATAGATAATTTTTGGCATTCAAGTTCATTTTCTGTGATTTTTTTGAGGATTAATACTTGCATAATTAACTAATTAAACTGGCAGAAATAAAGTGTCGGAAATATTGTTTATACTAGAAGTTAACTAGAAATGATAAGCGCTGACCATTTTTCATAAAAAATTTTTTCTGAAAATTGGAATAAATCTCGTCAGAAGAATATTTTCGTTTATGCTTTCGTTATGCTTATGCTTTATGCTTATGCTTATGCTTATGCTTTCGTTTTTGTGTTTCATTTGTGGTTTTTTTTTCTTTCATCTTTTCGCTTCAGTGATTTTTTTTTGACAAAATTTTCCATTCTTTAACATTGTAATATGAAAATATTTCAGTTAATGACACTTTCATTGGTATGTTTTTCAAATATTTGCATGATAAATGTTTTTCCAATTCTTCAAATATTTACTTAAATTTTTTCTTTTTAATTAAAATTTTTCTTTGTGATTTGCAAAAAATTTTACCTGAAAATTGGAATAAGTCTCGTTATTTGTTAGAGTTGCTTATGATATACAGATGTGCAAAGTAGGAGATTTTCTTACTAATCTCTCTGCTTTTAAACTATCATGGACGCTGAAAGTGTTGTTTGTAGTTGCACCATTTAATGCTATTGTACGTATAAAAAATATTTTATTTTATATTTCAGGAATGGGTCGTGAAGTCGAAAATCTAATAAAAGAAAATTCGGAATTATTGGAAACGAAAAACGCTCTGAATATTGTTAAAAATGATTTAATCGCTCGTGTTGATGAACTTAGCAGGTTTTTTCACTTTTTTCTCATTTTTTTCTTCCCAATTTTCCTTTTTTCCTTTTTTTTTTAACATTAATCGAGCTTAAAAATTAGTGAATAAAAAAATTATTAGAGAGGATAGGAGATTAATATTTTGGATTTAAGACGGCAATTTAAGAATTGACAGAACCTAGGTTTAAGTCATTAAATTTGATTTTTAAAAATATTTATTTGTAGTGAACACGATATTTTGCGTGAGGAAGTCAGAAGTCTAGAGATGGTTCGATCAAAAATGGCAGAAAGAATTAAAGAACTGGAATTTGAAGTACGCGAGCTTAAAGAGAAAGTCGAAGAAAAAGTTGATGATGAAGTATGTCCCAAAAGACTTTCTCATTTTTCATTAGTTTTTGCTATATTTATTCCAATAATAAGCTGGACGAGTATTTACGATATATAGGGTACATAGGAAATACTTGGTGGAGCTCGATGGTTCCTACTTTTAGCATATATTTTTCTAAAATTTCTTCGGGGATCTGCTCCATGTAGATTTTAAATTTCCTGCCACGGGGTATTTTTGAACTGATGCTACATATTCTCTGGCCAGCGTTTGCTTTATAAATATCTCACAGCAAATGATCGGATCCTCAAACTTGGACAATTAAACCGTTTATTTAATACATATACATAAAAACATAAATTCCTCACTTCTAGCTTCCCTTTCTCCAGAATAAACCCAAAATGGCCAAAAATAGTTTTTTGGGAACTTATATTCGCTTTAAGATGGGCGGAGAGAGGAGAGAAAGAGGTGTTTGTCCATTTTCTTAAATAGAAAATATCTTTATTGTATCTTTCATTCATGGAGTACTCTACTGTTTTATAATATTTTATAATATCTTTTTTCTCATCTCCCATATTTTCCTAATATTCTCGCTGGTGAAGAAGAGACATGTGGTAGGTGCAACGCAGATAATATGCTCATATTTGCAATTATTAGACAACATAGGCCATTTGCTTCTCACAAAAAAAGAAAAAAAAATAAGAATATTAAAAAAACATGTGAGATTTTAAAAATAAAAAATAGTATTAATAAGTATTGATTAATATTAATTTAAATAATTACTTTATGTACTTTAAGTTGATTTAATCTTACCTCCAGTATTATTTAAATTTTAAGATTTTAAGAAAGGTTTTTTTCAGAAAAACAATCCAGATTTTAGTATTTATTTTATTTTTAAAGGAAAATGTACCAATGGCACAGCGTAAAAGATTTACGAGGTTAGAGATGGCACGTGTTCTCATGGAACGCAATCAATATAAAGAAAAACTTATGGAACTTCAAGAAGCTGTTAAGTGGACTGAACTACAACGTGCAAAGCGCTTGAGCGTAATGAATGCGAAAAGGAGTGGTGGTATATGGGAATTGTTAGTTTTTTCTTTGTTTTTTTGTAAATTTATTTTTATTTTTTTAAAAAAAATTTTTTTTTCGAATTTAACAGAATAGATATGCTTGGAAGGTTGTTTCACCTGCGAGTAGTTAGCACTCTCTCAAAAAAATCTTAGGGAATGAATGCTATAAATATGAAAGTTGACTCATTTTCAACTTATGGTGCATTTGTGAAAGGGCCGAGATAGTTTCCGCAAAGTTTATGGGATTTTATTTTTTAAATCGGCCAAAAATGTGATCCTGAAAGGTATGTTCAGGTATATATATCCTGCTATATTCCTAGACTTGATTCTTTAAAGTTTAAGATTCTTTGAAAGAATCAGTTTTTTTCAGTTTCTCAGGTCTTTTTTCGCAAACACCAACAAATAATGCGAATCGACATCGCAGAGGTGGTGGTAGTGATCCACTTTCTCGACGAAAACCTATAAAAACTGTAGATTTCATCGATACTGACATGTATTTTTTTCATTTTTATGTATTCACTCCTTTTGTTCTTAATTAACATGTTTTTTTACCCATTAATTATATATATTAATTTATAGATGATTTTAGAATATAAGTGAATATTTCAAATTTATATTTTTATAAAATTAAGAACATCCGAAAAAAGGGCCACTGAAAGACGGCAGCAATATAAAATTGTTCGTGAACATGTGAAAAAAGAGGAAGTAGGAAGAGTACATGCATATGGTTGGTCTGTCCCGATTAGTGTCACCGAGAAAAATGAGTTCATACCAGTCCCCGTATTTTGTCGGCCATTAATGGACATAGAACCATCTTTAAAGGTATCTGTTAGTTTTTACCGATTTTAATTTTACGACTTTTCCTTTTTTGTTACAAAATTGAAAGCTGCGAAATTCAGTTTAAAGAATAGAGGTTCGAAATTTTTCTGGTTATTCTGTTGAATTTCCTTGTCATTTTTGTGCTATTTTTTCAAAGAAAAGAATTTATAATTTAGATATGGTGCGCTTCAGTGGTGACATTACGAGGCGGTCGCACACGTGATGGAGGATACATCGTTGGACATTCCGTCTTTTATTCACAGCCGAAAACACCTCGTGAAGAAGAGCCCCCATTTGAGAAACCGGTAGAACGACTTGACTTCGAACTTAGGGTATGATATGTGGCATGGGAAATAGGGTAGTTATTGCAAGACAGAATAGCTAGGACGCAGAAGCAGCAATAATATTTATACATTCCTAGAACACTAATATATCGCTAGATTGAATAGTTTTCCTTTGAAATACTACAACATTTCTTTCTTATTTTATTGGTCCAGAATTTTTTAAAAATTAATTATTTGACTGAAAAAACAGAAGATTGATTAAATTGATGAAGAAAGATGGTGAAGATATTCTGGTTCATATATAATCTTAAAGACATATTCATCAGTTTTATAATGTAAGTTTTTTAGTTATTTTGCAGGAAGCGATTCGTGAGGCTGATGAAATGGAGAAAGTTACATGGGAAGCATCAAGCTTGCTTTGGGTTTGTAGCTCAAATCAAGGTCAAAGTTGTGCCACCATTTTGGATTCGAGCAATCCTAACAGTGTTATTGATGCGTTTCCAGTTTGCTCTGCGCATATTTTATGCGTTACTTCTGTTCCGGGTGATTCTTTATTTATTGAAAAATTGAGCTATGATTTCGCTAAACATAGGAAATTTGTGGTAACATTCGGAATATTTCGTCTAATGAATGAAAAATTTTCTAAATTTTATGGCAGGTGTCCAAGAAACTGATTATCCTGGGAATGGTGAGGAAATTATCGATCAAAATCAAATCGTTCGTGATGGTGGTTATTTTACTGATCTACCACCGAATGCGATGGAACTAGAAGAATTTGGAGCTGTTCGTTGGGTATTTTATAGATTTATATACATATAAATATATATAAATATTAAATCAGTTTTAAATTTTTAAATTTTTTATTTCATTTTCATTTTTTTTCCAGATTGAGCTCAAAAAATTACAAGATGATGATGGTGATAATGATAATGATTTCGATTCAGTGCCAACATATTGTGGGACTGATGATGATAAACCATCACCTCATCGATCGCGCGACTGTAATTTTTTTTCCTTATTTTAAATTTTTGCATCCTGTGCAGTCGTCATCCACAGAATTTTTGTTTTAATTGTAAATCTATTAATTCTTTTGCATTTTGCTTGATGTACAGTGTTGCTTTCATTTTTCTTCTAGTTCCTTTATTTTTCAAAGTTTTAACATTAACATTTTCGCACAGTTTTTGTTTTAGAGGAAAATTGCTTTGAATTTCAAAATATTGAACGTTTCAGTCAGTCTTTGTGATATGCCAATTGCTACTACTTCCAATGAAGGTTTAAATGCTATCTCTGAATTTGGTTAGTTTTCTTTTGGGATAATTTCGAAATATTGGAAACTCGAAAATTTTGGTGAATAACCGAAATTGTTTCCAGAAAATGTTTATTTTGTAAATACGTAAAAATTTTTCTCTGATGCATTTAGTTTTTAGTTTGATGCATTACGTCAATTTCCCTTAGTAAAATCTCCTTTATATGGTTTTCGATAAGCATTTTTTTGTTAATTTTATATCGTTAACTTCAAAGGCTTTCCTTTTTGGATGATTCATTGATTTATTTAGCAAAGCAGAGAAATTGAGAATTTTGTGCTTTAAATCTAAAATTTTATAATTTTTAATTATTTTTATTTTCTTTTTAAACTGAAATTTCCAAATGTATTTGTAATTTTGCATTTGCTTAATTAAAGCATTAGTTAATTTTATTTTTTTCTGCTAATATGCGTAATTGTTTTCATTTATTTGTTTTATTTATTTTTGGTTGATCCTTGGTGCGATTTGGTATGCCATTTCTTTTAATGTGTTAAATCGGCATGTTTTTCTTTTTCCATATTTTCTTATTTTAGTTTTTGCCACATTTTTAGTGTCGCATTTATATTTTCAATAATTTGCCTTCTTAAATTTTATCACTTTTTCCTTTAAAAAAATCATCCTTAATTTGTTCAAAAGAAAGTTTAATAAGAGTTTAAAAAATAAGAGTTTTTTCCAGCAAATCTAAAATAGTTCTAAAAATTGTTGAAAAATTAAGTAATTTAAATTTTACCGAAATTACTGATAATGCTGATAATAATTTATATAAATGTAGTACAAAGTGAAGCAGTGGGGAAATTGTCGAGTGATGAAGGAGTTAATTATGGAAAATATATTCTTCTTGAAAAATACAGTACCAAGAAAGAATTAAATTTTGGTGAGATCATTATTTATTATTTATTTCTCTTATTTTTCACTATATGATTGATAGGCGTAGGTATTTTTTCGATTTATATAACGCTTGATTAAATGTAATTTTTTATTCGAGAAATTGGAAAAGAATGGTTTAAAAAGAATTTCAGTTTTATCTCTTATAAAATACATTATAAGTAAGTCTTGTAAAAGTCTTGAATGTTCAAGGTAATTATAATTACGGAGATAGAAGGTTGCCGTAAGAACGCAAATGATAAAAGATCTCGTTTGACTCTATTTGGGTGGGTATTAGTATTTTTTAAAAGTCTCTCCACAATCCCCTTTTGTTCACTTGCTGTGGTAGTCTCGTGTTGCCGCTTTGATTCAAGTGGGAGGTCAGGAAGATTTTTTCATTTTTTAAAAAAGCCTATAAATTGTTTTATGCCTTTAAAAACTTTTTGTGATCATCGCTTATCTTTATTCATGGATTGTACAGAGTGGTGCTCTAAATATGTAGGCAGATTTGTTTAATCGTCCTCTTTCAGCTACTTTTCTTAAAATGTTATAGAAAACTTTAAAAAATGAAAATCCGTAAGAATTTCTTGTTCGATTATCGCTTATTCATTTCCTCGAATTTTGGTGATTCTTTCGATTCACCTGTATTTATTCATTATTTGCGAGCGACGCTGGCGATTACTCCTTTCCTTACTTGCGCCAGGTGACTTTCTGACAAAATATGTCTGCTCCGACGAGTCAATGGAGCTATGATTTATAACTATGTTCATATGAATATTTATTTATTTATATCTATTTTTTCACATGCCAAGCAGAACTTACAGGCTTATCTGCTTAATAAGACAACGTAATAATTAAAGTAAGCATAAAGATATGGAATTTTGCTGGATAAAGCGGCAGCAGCATTATTAAATTAATCTCTTTGTTCACTTTTGTAGGTTTTTTCTCACCTTCATTTCTTCATTTCCGTTTATCTTCCGTATTCTCATTGGATAGAAACGAGATAAAATAATTTCATGCACACCAACAGGTAACTTGGTCCAGTGATTGACTGTTTGAATGAGTAAGTTGTGAGCTCTTAACTTCGTTTCAAACTATTCTGGTCTCGTTAACATTCAGATTTAGGCCGTAGTCACAATACTTGGAACAGTCCACAACCATACAAAATTTTATGTTCCAACGCCAGATTTTGCTTAATCCTCATTAGCACTGAAGCATATATGGTTTCTGGTATATATGATATATATTTTTATTTTGCCTTATAATTAATGGAGCTGAGACGGTTTCAAAATATTTTTATAGTCTTCCGATAAGTTTATTATTATATAATAGCAAACTATACTAGCGAATGAATAAATATTTAATACATTTCAAGAAAAAAATTTTTATTCGACTTTTGGATTTAATTTTCATAATTACGAATTATTACATTCTTTAAATTTTTAAAAGGGGCTTTGAAACAATAAATAATAATAAAAATAAACCCATTAATCAATTAATATTTGCTTGCAAACTGATTTTGTCACGTTTTTCGAGTTTTTGGGTTAATTTTTTTATTAATAATTTTCATAGGATTTATTGTTTTTTTGCTATTTTATAAGGGTTTTTTTTCTTTTATTTGTTTCTCTTTTATTTGTAGAAATATTTTAATAGAAATACTTAAATAATTTGCCGTTATTTTTTAATAAACTAATTTTCTTTTTTGTTTTTCTTTATTTTTTTAATGAAAATTTTTTTTTTCTAAATTAAAGTTTTTTATTGGTTTTTCAAATTCAATATTTCTTTAAAATATTTTTTAAGATGAAATTACCGATAAACGACGCATTCCGAATCACATACAAGATGGATTGCGACATTTTCAAGGTATTTCGGAAAATATGACAGCCTTACCGACTATATGGATGGGCACTCAAAACGAATAGTTTGTTTCTCTTCTGATAAATCAAGAATTTTTTCCATCTTTTAAAATTATTCTAGCGATTCACTGAAAACTCTATTTCCTTGAATTTTTCTTGCTATTTTTTATTTAGCTATTTTATTTTCGTTTTTTATTTTTTATTTATATTTTCGTTTTGGTATTTTTTACTTTGGTTTTTTTGGATACATATATCATTAACTCATATAATCAGCCTAAATCTAATTAGCTTTATTTCAGTATTTATATACATTCGGCTGTAACGAACTGGAAAAACTGTTTACGACGTATTAAGATACCAGATGCTGTCCTTTCCATTTTGTAAGCTTATTTTTTAGCGCTTTCCATTTCAAATCATATTTTTACGAAATTTATAATTGATATTTATAATTATAAATTTATAATTGTTTGTAGACATTATAAAGGTCGCATTTTTGCTGCACTTGCGAATGGCTCTATTGCTGTTTTCTATCGTGATCAAGGTACATTTACATTTCTAAATAGCTCTAACCATAGTGGCCCAGCCAAAGTGTGCACTAAGAAATATTGAAATACTTGACAAGATTCATGATTCTCACTTCGGTGCTTCAGTTTTATGAATATTTTTTAGTTGGTGGTTGGTCGGAAAGCGGCTATTCCACTATAACAATTGGTAAAGCGACAAGCTCAGTTCGTTCATTGACAGTTGTTGCGGGTAGAATTTGGGCTGCTTATAGAAACTGTATTATTGTAATCGATCCGAACGATCTCACTGTACATGTAATTTTTTAAATAAATAAAGAATCAAAATAAAGGAGTTTGAATTATTTTTTACCACTTTTTAAAAAATTTCTTGCGAAAAATGTGAATAAAACATGTTTAGAAGGTTTTTACTGCACATCCTCGTCGCGATAGTCAAGTACGCCATATGCAGTGGATTGGCGATGGTGTATGGCTATCGATTCGTCTTGATTCAACCTTAAGGCTGTTTCATGCGTATACTTATATACATCTGCAGGACGTCGATATTGAACCACATGTTACAAAGATGCTTGGTTCTATTTTTTTCTGTTCCATTATTATTTAAATAAGCTTTCGACCTATTATTTTGTAATTCTCCGGTGTCTTTATATGTTTCAGGAACTAATCAGTTAGACTATTCGTACATGCGAACCACTGCTCTTCTCGTTTCTTGCCGTAGGTTATGGATTGGGACTGGCACTGGCGTAATTGTTTCTGTGCCATTAGATGAAGGTTTTTTTGTTCTTTAAATTTCTAAATTTCAAATTTTTTTTTGTTCATTTCTGTTTGATTAAATCAACTAATATTTTTAGTTATAAATGGAAAGCTTGAAACAAAAATCCCTATTCAGTCTGTAAATGACGAATTCCGAGGTCCTGGTGGATTAATACGTGTTTATAGTGATTCCACCAGTGATCGAATTTCTCCGGGTAGTTTTATCCCTTACTGTGATATGTCTAAAGCGCAGCTTTCATTCCATGGACATAAGGATTCTGTCAAGTTCTTCTTAGCTGTACCTGGTTTGTTCCAGTTTTTCGTGTTGAAATTTTCTTTTTTCTATTTTTATTTTCTCTTTAATTTTAGGTATTCTTCTTTGCTGAAAATGCAATTTTAATTTTTTTTTAGGTATTGAATCAGATATTGAACAAATAAGTGATAAACGAACAAGAAAGATGCTTATTGTATCTGGAGGTGACGGTTACATCGATTTTAGACTGGGTTAATTTCCTTATCTAATTTTTTTTTGTTTTTCAAACTCGAGATTTTTTCCGTAATCAAAAAAAAGTAAATTCAGGTGAAGAAGACGATGACTCACATTTTAAAAATCCTCGTCCTCGTGACATGTCGCATTTAATAGTCTGGGAAGTGGATTCAAAAATTGAAATAATGAAAAATAGCATTTAAATAGGGACGATTATTTTTATACTTAACAAATTTTTTATGATCTTAATACTACTATTATTTAATATGATTGCAAAATAAACTTTATTGACTTTCCGAATAGTTCACGGATTTGAAAATAATCTTTTTATTGGAACTTGCGGAGAGATTTTAATTTTTATTCGCTATTTATATATACATTGATATATTGTCTTTATTTTTTTATTGTTTCTTGAAATGTGTTAATATAACTGAACTGAAATAACTTTTCCTTTCGGTTCTTTTTCCAACACCATGCGCTTGCTTTGCCTGACTCTGTTCACTAACACTTCGGGAATATCGACTCACCCAAATTTTAGTTTTAATATGCTTAGTTTTCGCTCTGGAATTAAATTCTAGGTGTGGGAATTTTTTTTTTCAAGAAAAGTGTAGTCGTTTTATTATTCACTTCCACGTTTTTAACACATTTCCTTTAAACAAATAACTCTTCATTGTCTAGTATTGTCTTAGTTAATTCTCATTTCTTACAGTTGTACAGGATTTTAATAAAATTTTTATAAAGGTTCATCCTAGTCATATTTTATTATTAGCTGGCGAGAGGGAGGGAGAGAGGGATGGCATAAAAATCGGTAAAGCATCTACGATGCACCATCTATTCATTACCTTCAACATATTTGAAATATTCTAATCCATATGATTGCAAATCCACTCGCCATTTGAGCTCTTCAAATGTCCAGCATCTCCCTCTTAGTTCTCTGGTGAATAGGAGCACTTCCCCAGTATATATAGGTTAAGGAACTCATATCATATCACCGCGCGACTGGCTGGGTAATTCTGCTCACAACCTCTAATACGCATAGATAATATAGCCACTATGGAGGTGTCCGCTTATCGAAATACTGTGTCGATTTTAACTATCGGCAATCTGATGTATTGTTTTTCTAAAGAGTGCTTTGGAGAATTGCACGGTAACATTTGAGAGAAGATATTGCATAAGATAAGATATTAAGGCAAAATTAAAGTACCTGTGTCAGTCGGTAAATGTGGTGAATCTGATGTCGCATTATTGATATAATTTTTTGAAATAATTGCATCGAGGATGCAGTGTACCTCGATCAGTCTTGCAATAATTAAATCATGGACAAATGCTTGCTGAATCAAGAAATACTATAGACATTCATTGTCCTTCTGAGATAGCTGAGACCAGTAACAAGAGAGAAAATTGGGCTCCAGATTGATGTAACATTAGATGGTGCACGCTGAAATGCCTGCAAAAATTTATTTCCAGTTGGTGAAATGCCAGCTTGAAGTATTTCCAATCTCAGATAGCCAGCAAATGGCCTTGAATAACTGCGACGGGAAACGTATTCATTCGTCTTTTGTTGCATAATCCTTGCAAAATCGCGGGGAAATTATTATTGTAGCCAAAATTTGCATTTTCCTCGTTGCAACACGCAAAATCTTTTATAGAAGAAACTCTAATGGTATATTCCACCATCATTTGTTCTCTGTTAAGAGAAATTTGATAAGATCAAGCTGACTTGATAATAATCATTTATATGAATAAATGAATCAATGAATCCATTAAAAAAGATTTTTGCACTTCGTTAATAATAGTGTTAAGAAAAGTTTACTTAAAATTTTTATTGAAAATGTAAATAAAAAGAGAATTTTAAAATAAAATAAAACGATTTATTTAAAATAAATCCATAGAAAAACTTTAAATTTCTGAATTTTCGACAAATTATATTATTTTCACAAAAGTGAAATTAAAATATTTCCTCACACTATTAAAAATATAAATTGAATGGTTTAAAATTGTTTAAATAAATTATTAAATTGTTTAAATAAATTATAAATGGTTTAAAATTGTTTAAATTGTTTATTAAATAAATATAATTATTAATAAAATTCAAATCAAAACATAATAAATTTCAAAATAACAGTTAGTAAAAATAATTCTAAAGAGCAGCAGATTTTTGTTGCAATATTATCTGATTTGCCTAAATATTTGCCTAATTTTTAATATAGTATAGTGCAATAACATAATATATTTTAATTTAATATAATTTCTTAATTTTTTTAATTTTTAAATTTAAACTTGGTTTCAAAAAAATTTTTCTACTTTTCTACTTTGCTTGATGAAAAATCTATTTACTTATATAGGAGGAAAATCGTATTATGACAAATAAGATTTAATGGCAAAAGCGAGGAGGAGAAATCAAGTTGATCGATAGAATCCGAAGAGATTTTGAATGTATAGGATATATAGGCTAGGGACGGTAGAAGAAGCAACGGGTAGAAGAAGAAACTTTTGTTATCCTCAAGTATGGCATTGGACTGAGTGGCTTAGCCATGTGGCCATTGCCGCCAACTTAAGGTAACGGTGTAAGAAAAAATATAATTAACAATTTTCGTCCAATTTTTTGCGTCGCAAAAGCCGGTTTGCCATATTGGTCGCCCATCAAGTGAAGCCACATAGCGACATATGCCGAGTCTCTTCTAATGGATGGTGCCAGAAAGGAAGAGGGCAAATAAAGGCGCACAATGAAATGGTTAGGAGAGGTTTTAAAACATAAAGGAGAGCAAGTAACAAGCTTAAGTAACCAGTAATTACTTTCAGATATGGCATATATTCGAGCGACTCTTGCAGCAATTGCAGTCAGTAACTAAACCAGTAATTGCTGATCCTAGAAAAATGTAATATCCAATTCGATAAACTGAAATTACACGCGGTTGTACTATACTTCTTCTTTTTCTAACAGTTCTCACCATTACTGGTTGGCTGGCTTCAACGGCTATAAGGGTAAGACGATTCCAAGCGGCGCGATCTGATGCACCATTGTCGACAGTAATGGAAGCCATTCCTTTTTCCATCGTCTAAGTCCATATATTGCTGGTCCACTTATACGTTCAAAATCTTTTCTCACCATATCAGTCCAAGTCTTGGTTGTCCTACCACGCCAACCATCACATGGTTTAGCAAATAACGAAATATGCGCCAACTCCTGTGGTGGACGACGAAAAATGTGCCCTAACCAGCGAAGGCGGCGCTCTATGATAACATTATTTATGCAAGTGGAATTTGAACGAGGATGGATGCGATCTTGTATTTAATCCACTCGGCGAACCCATAAAATATATCTTGGACAAGAGTGGTCAAAGGGATAATTTCTTAATATTCTCCACTCTCATTGGTCATATAGTAAGATCGGACGGATCACGGCAATATAAATGCGAACATTCGTTTTTTTGGTGATTTCACGACGATTCCATAAAGATTTCGTCAACCGAAAGAACATTTCTATTTCTAGCTGCCGTGATCCGAGTTATAATATCGTCTTTTGCCTGGCCATTTGGTATTAGAGTGGACCCAAGGTATTTAAAATCGGGTACATCCTCGACCAGCAATGAATTGGCAAAAAGAGGCATTTTATCAGCTTCTTGCACATAAGACGAAAAGACTTTCTTTTTATTTACATTGTTCCTAAGTCTGATTCTTATTGAAATTTCTGACACGTTATTTAGTATTACTTGCATTTCATTATAACTGTCAGCAAAAAGGACTATATCATCAGCGTATTCAAGATCTGTGATATGATGCTGTGGACTGATTGGAACACCTCTTGAGTGCCGACAAGCAGTCCAGTCCATTATCCAGTCTATCGCATAGTTGAATATTGTGGGGAAAAGGATGCAGACCTGACGGACACCTGTTCTTATTTCGAAGGAATCTGTCAGCTCCCCATATACAAAGATCTGCACCGAAGTGCGCTCATAAAATGCCTTTATGAGTCTAATGATTATCTCTGGAACACCATCATGTTCCATCATCCTCCAAAGCGCCGCTCTATCAATTGAATCAAAGGCAGCCGCAAAATCGATGAAACACGTGGGTTGCAAATATTTGAAGCGATGTTCCAACATTCTTTTTAGCGTGAATATCTGGTCAGCACAACCGCGCTCTGGTCTGAAACCAGCTTGATTAGGGCGCATCTTACTGTCCCGTATTGCCATAAGTTTGTTGAGTAAAAGAGAAGCAAAAATTTTTGCTTATGCGTCTAGTAGGCTGATTCCTCGATAATTGTCGCAGTATGTCCTATCATTTTTCTTGAGAATTGGGTGCAGAATTGCTTTGCTCCAATCATCTGATAATATTTCTTTTTTCCATACTGAAGAGTACATTTGTTGAAGGTGCGTTATGAAGGATGATGGACAGCATTTGAAAAGCTCAGCCCGAAGACCATCTTCTCCTGGAGTTTTGTTGGCTTTAAGCTTATGGATAACTGAAATTATTTCTTCTTCTGTTGAAGGCTCGCAATTGCAAACGTATGTTTCGGCAAATGTATCAGCTATATCAGGGGCAACAGATGACGCTTCATGGTTAAGTTTGGCCTCAAAGAATTCTTTCCATCTTATGACGCGATCCTTAATACTTTTAATTAGTACGCTATTGTTGTCTCTTACCATTTCACTCCCCGAGTCATATTGCCCTTTATGAAGAAGGCAGAATAATTTTCTATCGTCGCCTAATCGAGCCGCCGCCTCCATTCTTGAAGTCATGTCACTCCAATAGAGATTTCTGTCCCGCCTTATTGCTTTCGTTGCAAATCTTCGAAGTACCCGGTAGTCAGGATCATCTGACATTCGTGCTTTGGCAGTTTTTCAGACAATTGGACAGCTGCTTCCGATACCCAACCAGCGCACTTCCTTCCTACTAGTATGCCCTAGCGTGGAAATGGCTGATTTTTCGGAGACATTCCTTTAGTTTGGACCAGTATTCATTTGCCGTTCCAGAAAAATCATTGATATTTATATCATTGAGATGCTTCAATAATTCGGTTTGAAATGCGCTCACAATTCCCGAATTTTTGGTTTGAGATAATTGAAGGAACTTGGGGGATGCTGTTTTCTGCGAGTTGTCAATTTTATGCGGATCTTGGCTCGAACCATGGTCATGGTCATAACATGGTCAGATCCATGAAGATTGCCCGTTTCAGCTCTGCGATAGGAATGACTATCTAGCATGGAACTCTTCCAATGGCGAATGACATAAGATATAATCAATCTGGTTGAAGTGTTGGTTATCCGGGGAGTTCCACATGATAGATGTTTTCTATACGGCTAATACCTCGCCGCGCGTGCAAAGGACTGTTCCTCTTTATTAGGTTTCGAGCAATTACCCTGGCTTGAGAGCACATTTTATTTACCAGCCTTGAGATCGCTTTAAGTCCGGATTGTATACTTATCGCATGTACCACCGGGCTCGAAGTATCATGCGCGTCGGAGATGCGGACGCCGTATGAAGTGTATCTGATCCTTTCACCATAGAGTTACTTGGTGATAAAGTTACAGGTGGGTCCCCAGCAGCCACCGGATTTTTGACATAATAGCTGGTTTGCTCCTGCCAAAAACAAAAAAAAAATTAAATTTGAAGAAAATAATGAAATGGACAATGAAATTTGAAAAATATATAATATGACTATGTATATATATGAAATATATATATTATTTATACAATTTAATTGATTTCATTTTAATTTATTTTATTTTAGTTTTAATCACTGTTTGGTAAAAAAATATATATATGTGTGTATGTATATGTATATATATATATATATATATATGTACTATACTATATATAACTATAATCAAACGGGCACTGCAACTGATTGCTAGTTAATTATCACAAAGTACCAAATTCTGGAAGGAGTAAACCTGTCATTCAAAAAATCCAGAAGGTCGAGTCATGAGTTAACTGCTTTTTTACTTATTAGGAACAATACCATTCATTTTTTCGCATAATAGAAAATTAAATATGAGTAAATATTAAATGTTCTGCAAAATTGAATCCCCACAAGCCGCATTATAGCCAGAAAATTGCCGGGCCGCGAATGCTCAATTCTCACCACTATGAGAAAAGGGATTTTCAAAAATTTTTTGAGAATTCCGTCCGCTTCATTGAAAACTCTGCTTTTCATTTCGGTTGTTTTTTCAGATTTCCGAGTTATTTAATTTGCAAAAAATTAAATGACGGAGCTCTAAAATGACAGAGAAATGGCGAGAAGAAAACGTCGGTGATCGATGGGTAAAAATTAATTTTAATTAAATAAATCAAACTTTTAACAAAATATTTTTTAAATATTTCCTTTAAAAAAAGCTGCAGCGCCGAGCATTTTCCAAAATAATTTCATTGGCCGTTAAGAAATTTTTCGAAGTGAATTATTGCTGCATGACTGCGGAACTAAGAAGGATCGCTTCGAGCAGCCTTAGTGTTAGATTGGTAAATGCGGAAGGGGCAGATAAATTAAATAAAATAAAAATTGCTTTCGCCAATAGTCCCCTTCCAAATTTTTCTCGGAAACTTCAAATTTCTCGACGGCCCAAGCCTTTTAAAACTCGGTGCAGATCAGAGCAGCCACAGCATATTTCTACGACCCTCGTTGCCTAACATAATTTAGCATAGCTTTCAGAAACGATATGTCGAAACAAGGAAAACAAAATTGTTCGACCAAATTAATAATGTTGAAAAATTTCCATCAGTTTCGAATATTTTTGAAGGAATTTCGATATTTGTTAATGGTTACACAAGTGAATTTTTTTTTTGAAATATTTTTTCTTTTATGGAAAAATTAAATTTTATTCCTTCCAAACGTGCTTCCAATTTTTTATTGCTTAGTTTGCATATATACATATATTAATTTTACATTTATGTTTATTTATTCTTACAAATTATTATTTTTTGTATTTAGTTCATAAAAATCGTAAATAATTATAGAAACAAATGCTAAAATAATAACAATAACAGTTGCAGTGATAATGTTGGCAATAATAATAACTCTAATAATAATAGTGACAGTGATAATATAATATTTAGATCCTCCTGCTGCCGAACTTCGACGACTTATTCAGTTACATGGAGGCGAATATCATGTTTATTATAAGTATGGTACCACAACTTATACTGTCGCAACGCACGTGGCCAATAGTAAAATCAGCAAACTTCGTAAAAATGAAAAGATAATCCATCCGAGATGGGTCACGGAAAGGTTTGTATATGTTATTTATATGGATACTTATATCTTTGCTATAATAATAAATAAAAACAGTATAAACCAATTTAGGAGGAAGGGGAGAAGGAATTGTTTCAGGCAGAATTGTTCTTATAATCTAAAATATAAAAATAATAATTGTAAACATAAATAAATATCTCTTCGACTTTATTTCGTTCCTTGAAATTTTTTTCGTTTATATTGAATTCATTGTTCTAAATTAAATTTTAGTATCGAAGTTGGGCACAAATTAGATGAAAAAAATTATTTATTATTTCAAAACGGTTCTGTTTTAAAGAATTCTGCATCAAAATGGAATCGTCGAAGTGAAAATGCACCGAACGCTGCAAATGACCCAGATTTTATAAAAAATTTTTATGAGAGGTTCGTTCGTTAAGAAATAAAAATAATCATAACAGATAGTAATGCCTATTGATATAGTGTTAATTTATTTGTTACTTAGCTAGTAATCTCCTAGTAATAGTCTGTATTTCATTTTCTTCTTACAAGGTGCCAGATATAGCTGGCTGGATTCTGATCAAAGAGGATGCATGATGAGATTGCTTATTTTCCTGTAGAATAAACAATAAATCTTTCTTTTTTTGTTTTTCTTTTAATTGAAAATTTTTAGATCTCGTTTGCATTTAATTTCAACTTTGGCCCAAGATATGAAGCTATTTGTGAATGATTTAAGGACGAAATCAAATAATGAATTCCCTTCAAGAAATCGATTACTTCATCTTGCAACCACGGAATTCACCAAGTTTTTTCTTTTTTCTTTTGCGTTATTCCTTTCCTTCTTTGAAATTTGAGATTTTTATACCGTCCCATTTATTTCTTTATAGCATACCTTCTGAAACTATTTGTCACCTTGATATGGATTGTTTCTTCGTATCAGTTGCTCTTATTTCTCGACCGGATTTGATTGGAAAACCTGTCGCCATCACCCATTCTAGGGTTAAATGTTACAATTATTCTTGATTTAGTTTTCTAATTTTTTCTGTTTTTGTTTCACCTTTATTTAGCATTAGCTTTTTATATATAATATAATAATTATAATATATTTAATATAATATATAACGTATTTAATGTAATACAATAATATTTTCTTACTTTATTGTTAACAATGGTATTCAGGGCGTGAATGAAAGCGCCGGAATGTCAGAGGTTGCTTCTTGTAGTTATGAAGCTCGATTGTGCGGTGTTCGTAACGGTTGCTTTGTGAGAGATGCTAAATTACGATGTCCTAATCTCACTTGTTTACCGTATCAGTTCGATGAATACCGACGTTTATCCAAATTAATATATACGATCATCACGAGGTGAATTTACGAATTTGTGCTTGTTTCGAATAGGTTTTTATGAATAAAATAGGATAGGTTTGAGAACAAAATTCTAAAGTAACGAACTTAGTGCAGCACCTTGGCAATTTTAATTTCTATGATTTCTTGGCAAGAACTACCATGTCTTTAACTACCATGTTAATGAAGAGCTGATGTCAGGTATACGAACGATATTCGGGCAGTGAGCTGTGATGAGATGTATATTGATTTGCGCTCATTTTGTTTGGAAACTGGTGTTCTGGATGTAAATGCGATTGTATCTACAATACGAGAAGAAATTTTTGAAGAAACGAAATGTCATGCTTCTGTTGGAATTGGTTAGTTTTGTCAAAAATTTTTCGAATTTTTTACCGTCATTAAATGATATATCATGATTTTCACTACAATTTTCATCGCACATTAGTAAATATTACGATATTTAATGGTTGATGAGCTTTTCTTAATTAAAATGTTTTTTAGGTAGTAGTATGCTATTGGCCCGATTAGCTACTCGACACGCTAAGCCAAATGGTCAGTTCATGGTTAAGCAAAGTGAAATAAATGATTTCATTAAAAACGAAAGGATATCTTCTCTGCCTGGAATTGGTTATTCTATTCAAGCCAGGATCAAAGAGTATTGATTTGCATTTTGCACAATTTTTGCATTATTGTTATTTTACAGGCATTTAACAATGTTAGGAAATATTTACTATATTCTCTTGACGTTTCATAAATCCTATCATTTTGTATTAATTCTTCACGCTTAGAACTAACAGTAGAAGCTGGAATAGTTACTGGGAATGAGCGAATGTTACTTTTTTTTTAAAGAGCTCTTACTGTTTAGACTCGCTTCTCTAGCTTATTGCAATAAACAAATATGCAAGAAATATGACGACAGAAGTATAGAATCGCGGCTTTTAGACAGATTTTTCTCCTGCAAATTTATAAATGCATTATCAATGTTTTGTTAAAAATGAAGTTCTGTCCAGTGCCACCAGAACTTTTGCATTATTTTTCAACATGAAACTTTTTTGGGCCTGATGATTAAGAAAATTGTCTTGCAAATATTCTGTTGTTCTTCTTTTTTAAATTTTCTTTAAATTAATTTCAATAACTTTAACTTATTGCTAGAAAACTGTTATAATGAATGCATTTTTTTAAAAGATCGTATGGTAATATGCAAACATGCGAAGATTTGCAGAAGATTCCACTGAACCAATTGCAAGAACTATTCGGAAAGAAAACGGGGGCTCAAGTATTTTTTAACATTAATTACTCATTTTCTCACGACATATACTATTTTTATCTCAAGCATATACTGGAAATATTTGTTTATTCTTTCTTATAGATAAATTATGATTGTTTTTTTATGTCCTTTTACTTTTTTATTTTTGTGAAGAGTGCATTTTTTAACGATCGTAATATGGTAATTATGCAAACATAATCGCTTACAGATATACAACTTTTGTCGTGGTATTGACTGCGATCGAAATTTTTTCGAATATTCTGAACGCAAATCAGTTTCATGTGATATTAATTATGGTATTCGATTTAAAGAAGTAAACTCTTGAGATTTTCTTTATAATAATAGTAATATTACTGTATTATTATCTGCCATCGTTTTTTAATTTTTTTTTATATTTATATTTATTTTATGAGCATTATTTATTTATTTTATTTATTATTTTTATTTATAATTGTCGAATACCTTGAGTCGAATTATGTCACTCTTTGATAATCTGGCAAAATTTTTTTATAGGAAGAGGAATTGACTAAATTTCTTCTTTCAATCGCTTTAGAATTGGAAAAAAAACTTGATGTTATTGGTGTGCTTGCATCAGCAGTTACTATTAGATTATTGGTAATTTTTTTCATGCTTATATTTTAGAATATCTTTTAAATTTTTTTTGAATATTATTAAAAACATAATATTATTAAAATATGAATAAATTTCACGAGAAATTTCTTATGCTTTTTTTTCAATTCAGATACGTTCATCTGATGCTCCTGAAGAACCTGAAAAATTTATGGGTCATGGTCTTTGCAACGTGGTGACGAGGTCATCTCTTTTTTCAAAACCAACATCCAGTGCCAGTTTAATTATGGAAGAAAGTAAAAAAATAATCAAAGTGCTCAATCCTGTTATTTCTGATTTAAGAGGTGTAAGTATCGATTTTCATCATTCCGATATTTCCTTCATTTATGAAAAATATAAAGAAATGTGTTCAATTATATAATTGATACTTTGAAAATGAATCTGAAACCAAGAGATTATTACATTAGATTAAATTAGTTCAAAAAAATTCCAAAATAATTTTTTAGATTGGCGTTCAGTTAACTAAATTGGCAAAGAATAGTGATATTCAGAAAGGCAATAAAGGAGAATTTACGCTCACTCAATATTTTAATGTTCGTTCAAGGAAATCCTTGATGAGGGATCTCAGCAAGAAAAAAACTGTGCACTTTAAAGAAGCCGCGCGAAAAGGAGGTTCTATCAATAAAGAACCCAAATACACTATAGAAAACGCATCTGTAATTATTATGTTGATCTTTCTTACAATATTCATTTTTTTCCACTCGAAAACTACAGTTTAATTTTTATTAAAAGTTCATGGAATCAAAATTGAAATTGAAATAAAATATTTATTTAAATATTAAATATTTTTAAAATATTAAACTTTTTACTGATCATAGTTTTCAGATCAGTGGTAAGCAATATTACGGATTTGGCTCATGCAACAGTTTTAGGAATTTAAGGATAAAGGCTGAACTGTTACGCGTTATGACCTTTAATAATTGTTAGTTTTTCAGTTTATTCCAAATCTGTACAAATTTTCGAAAGTTTTTTAAAGAAGATCAAGTATACATAATATAAGTATACATAATATAATACAATACACCAAATATAAAAATACTATAATAATAATAATAATTAACAATATAGATATACAAATAATATAAAATAACGCAGATTGGTTTTGCTAGTAATAATAATAGCCTGTAATATATATTTTATTACATTTTAAATTATTAATATTTTAAATTTTTTGAACCTTTGAAGCCAAAATTTTAAAGCATTTTTTCCAGCATTTAAATAAGATTTTTAAAAAATATGGGAAAAAAGGAAATAAGGAAAAGTTGAAAATAAATTATCCTTTAAATTATCTCTTGGTCTCCTATAGGCCCAAAAGAAAGCGAAATTGCGCCATTAATCAGCTTTTTTTATTATCAACTAAAAAATGGTCATATTTCTAATGTTACTGGTATATTTAAATTTCTTGAACGAAAAGCATTACAACAATCATTGGAATGGATTGTGGTTATTGCACATTTAAAAAAAATGTTGAATCTTCAGTCGCAAATGATCTATAATTGTAAATTATTACTTTGAATATCTTTGTAATTTTTAATTTGTAATTTTTCAATTCTTTTATGGTTTCTATTTTTAAAATAGCGCAGATGTAATATCATTTCATCAAAATGAAGTTTCTTCGAAATACGCCATTTGATGCAGTGCAAATTTTTCTTAAATAAAATAAAACCTGTTTTCAAACTGGTGAAAATTTTATTTAGCAGTTTTAACAATTTTATTTAGTTAAACTTTGCACAAATTATATGATTTTATATGTTGTATTTGCGAAATTTGAATTTTTATTTTCCTTTTCTAGATATGTTTGATTGTTTGTAATATATAATGTCATTGATAATGGGGCATAATTGACTTTTCGTGAAATTATGGTCGTCTCATTTTCTTTCATGATTGTTCGTTTGTTTCCTTCCTTTTTATCATTTTATAAGGATTGTAAACGTCAACTGTGGTGATAAAGCTTAAGAAGTAAAAAAGTGAACTTTAGAATTATTATAATTTAGAAGTGCGAAATTTCGAATAAATAATGGCTTGCATGATTTTAAAACAAGTTCATTTGAATGTAAATAGCTGTTACGACAATAAATCAGTCAAATGAATCGAAAGAACTTGTAAATGTAAATATTCTCATAAATTGAATGTATTCCAGGTAAAATTTATTTTTAGAAAAATGTGAATTTATCGATATTTTGTAAACGCATTTTCGTCACAAAGGTGAATATTAACTTGGTAACAGCGGATGAATTGGAATGGTCGAATAGGCTTTTAGACTGTCTGGTAATATTTTTTTTGATGAAAGGGTTCTTTTTGCACAATATTTTGAAATGTTCGAGATTTCGCGTAAATGAAATAACTGGTTTTCGGCGTTGTCATCGATTCGATATATTTGTTTCATTTAGGCCTCCGCCGATATTTTATATCTTTACAGTTCGATTTCATTTCGCACGTATCCTTCTCCACGGACTATCCAAATCTATAACATTGGATGAACTGGAATGGATGAATGAAACTATAGGCTTCTAGGCTCTCCTGGCGAAAACAATATTCTTTTTTAGTTATTTTTAGGGTGACTTCGGCTATTATTTCTTCATTACAGGAAAGTTCCATTTGCTTCCATTCCTTCCTGATGGGTTTCTGAATGATTATTTTTGTAAGCATTGGCGATGTTTTTGCAAGTATTATTTATTAGGTCATCTTAGTGAATTTTCGTTTTTTTATCAGTGTGGAAAGGTATTTCGAGTTAAACGGTTGAAAAAATGATAGAATGTGGAGAGAGTAAATAATCTGAAGAAAAGGATAAGCTGAGTAGAACTTCGACTTTCACCTGGTATTCGATATTCATCCTTCCTTTATAAGGTTTGGAGCGGAAATTCGAGTCCTGCAGAATGAAGTCAGAACCGTTATAAAAACTTGTGCGCCATCTGTTAATATGGTTTTTCTTGAATAAATTTCTTTGATCATTTTTCAAATATTCCAACTTTTTATTGAAGAAATTACATAATTTGTGAGTCATTTACGCGTGGGAAAATGGTATTATGCAATCTATTATTATGTGCAACACTCCAGTGATATTTAAAAAAAAAACGTGTATTTCGCGCATTTGTAACTGACAGAAGTGCGGACTAAGTGTGAGTAAATGTATGTGATGTGATTTACACTGGTGGATTTACTTCTAACAGTGGTGCGCATACCATAGGAGCACCAAAAAGCCTATTATTTCCCGATTTCGTTTCACGAACGTTGGCAACATTTTTATAGTTTTATCGAATTTCGTATCTAATTTCTTCAAATATTCTTCAAATGAATTTTCATTAATTTTTTCCTTTGATTTAGCCATCAAAATATGGATAAAAATTCAAAGAATGCCGTTATGATAAATGATAATCATGACGAGCTTGCATATATGAATGTTAGTATCTTAAATATTTCGCTTATCTTCACCAGTCTAAGTATTTTATTTATTTTCGTTGGTGTTTTTATTGGATATCACTTGGAATATGGACGACTTCATTCTTCGGTAACTATATGGTATGACTATAATCGACCTTCCGAATGGTACATTACAAAATGGGGTCTGGATAACTGCAATGTTAGTGTTATTTTTCCGACAATATGTACAATTTGCAGTTTGGCCACTAACTATTAAAACGATGCCTTTTCAACAGAGAGTAACTTTGGCTTAGAGATATTGACAGACGCCTAGCAGTTGTTCTCTTAATTGCAAAGATCGAATTTGTCTTGTTTCCCCTCAGTTGAAGTGAGATAGGTTTAAAAATTGAATTCGATTGAGATAAATTTTCATAATTGCAGGTAACTTTTATAAATATATCATATGGCAAATTCCCATCATTACTACGACTTTTTCAACTGAATCCAGTCACAAGTGGATTTTTTCGCGGTGCTGTTCTTATCTCAATAGCATTACACTTATTTCAAGGATTTATGACTAGTTATCATCATTTGGTGTTAGATTTTCATCCAATCTATAAAATATTCGATATAATTGCACCATTGTTTTTGATAATTGAAAGATTTTCGCTAGGAATTATTGCAACGAATTCGATTTTTCGTGATTCTTTTGGTAATCATTCGTTTTATTTATTTTTTCTTTTCTTGTAAATTTTAATCCAAGTAATTTTCAATTGATTTATTTTTTAGAACTGAATTATATAGCTTATCATCTATTTATTATCAATGTTTTATTTCATATGCTATCGCGTTCCATCTCTTCGCTTTTTTTTTGTTTTTATGCGAAAAAGGTTTTCCAATTTTAATTTTTATAAAACACTTGTTTATTATAAGCTTTGTAGAGATTTCCGTTCATTTATATCGCTGTTGTCCTCGGAAGAAAATCTTTTTAAATTATAGAAAACTTTTGACGCGAATTTAAGAGGGATTGATTATATTGGACAGTTTACGAAAAATGGCGGAGATAAACAGTTCTTAAGGTGAGATGCTGTTAAAACAATGCCAGTGGCTTGTTGCTTCAGCGAATATATATTCCTCATATCTGATGGGGTGGACAAAGTGTATCAACAAAAATGAATGATCCGGATGATGGGGAGTCATGTCCTCAAATGATTGTGTCTTTGGCGAAGGGATGTCATTCTAGTAGCCAATTGACCCATTCAAAACAGAAATCAAAAGTGATTTCCGATGTTTTATTTAATTTATTATAATGATTTTTTATATGTTTAACTGATATGATAATTCCAATTAAATTTTAATTCCAATTAAAAGTTTTGACCAATTTTTTCGAATTTAAATTAAACATGGAGAAAAAATTTTGTTGTTAGCTCATTATTCTCCTAAAATTATAAAAAAGTATAATAAAACATTGTTTAATAAATGTGGACTCACTATAAAGATAAATTGATTAATGATAAATTGATTATTTATCATTTTATTCATAAATTCAGAAGCCTTAGAATTCTTATTCATGAATTCTTAGAAGCCTTCAGATTTTGGATTACTTATCTTTTATGCTGAAAGTTAGCGGTTTAATCGGATTTGCTTTTGCTGTTCCTCAAATTTATTCTTATCATTTGGAATTCATTTTTGCACCTATTTGTCATTTTTATGGTATGTTTTTTCTAATATTAGTAATTTTTAAAAACTAGCAATTGATTTTCCAATTTTCTATAAATTTATTTAATTAAAATAACAAAACAGTAATAATAACGAAGAATTATTTCAGTGCAATCATCAAAAGCAATCAGTGAAATTCTATTAATATTTTCTTATTTTATATTTCATATCAGCTCAATAATTGATATTCGTGATATGAGGTTATCAGTCATTTTCTATTTTATTTCAGTAGTTAGGAGAATATATTTTGCAAATGATGCATTTTTAATTTTTTTCTATCCTATATCGTATTTTTACTTTTTCCAGTCTTCAAGTGATCCTTTGTATAGAAAATAAATTTAGAAGTTTCGTTTCATTCACTTCATTCACCACCCATTAATCCATTTTAAGCTGAAAATCCTTATCAATCCTTATTTGTAGCCACTAAAAATTATTGTTCGTTTCGCATGTTTTTTCTTAGAAAACTACTGAATTATTTTCTCTTAGGCCTTATTAAATTATGCCTATAAAATCTTTTTCTTTTATTACTTATTAAATCGAAATTTCAGGTTATTGTGCCATCCATTAGCATCATCAGGTGAATGTGAACCACTTAAACCGGAAAATTTCCAAAAGGGTGGAAAATTTGAATTCTGTCGATAATGTGGGCAAAACGTTTCATTAAGATACTTTTTGAAATGGTGTTCTTTAATTGGATTTCCATTGCGAACAAAGAACAAAATTACAATAATTATCACACAAAAGGAATTCTTTTTAACTTTCAAAATTTCATTGCCTTTTTTCTTGGCTTATAAATTGATGAAAATCGATACCCACAACATCAGAAAGATGGAGGTCCAAGTGGGTCTTCGCTACTTTGGATTTCAGTTTAAATCACATATTGTGGAGATAGGAATCGGATTCATATTGCTTCTTTCTAGTTAAATCTATTGCAAGTATGAAAAAATATGTTAGGATGATAAACTTGTTAGAAGGATACGGTAGATACCAATGTACGCCTAATTTTCAAGATTTCGGACTTCAAGTCTTACCGGCAATTTAAGCAAAATAAGAAAATAAAAAGTAGAATGGCTGAGGAGGATATCAGTAATTTAACAGCTAACTGCCAACTTTATGTAAATTGAATTTCGAAGAATATTTATCGAGTTTTCCAGAAGTCATTTCTTATATTAATTAATTCCAATTAAATATTTCAGTAGACAGATATTCTTGCTGTAATGATGCATTTTTTTCCATTCTATATCCTATGTTAAGGCATGTTTCTACTTCTTAGAGAAGTTTATATCAGAAATTGATAATAATGGCTATTTCAAGGGAAATAATGCTGGGAAATACTTGTGGAACGAAGCTATTGGTTAAACTTTCTTCAAATTATGTTTAGGAAAAATCCATCTTTTGTAATTAAAGTCTGATTGTTGAACTTATCACATTCTTCATAACTGAATTGCTCTAAATAATTGCGTTAAATTGCGGAGTGGGTAGTTTAGATTACCGTGTTGAGAGGGGTAGATTATCGTCTTCGCTCTCACTACCAAGCAGAGCAAACTTGGAACGAACCTTTCTGTATTAAAAAATAATTCGAGTGACGCACTTATATTTTTATTATCAAGTGATCTCCTGGCAAGAATTTCTAACCGTAGTAGTTTAACATGGTTAGTTTAATTAGAAGCGGTTAGTGCTATTCACTTAATTAATAAGATAGATTAATAAGAAAGAAATCCAGTATAGAATCATTTCAGTGTTTCGAAAAAATTTATCGGCAACTCGGATTTCACTTTTAAGAATATCACAATTATGATCATTATTCTTCCTTAAGGCAATTTCTCACTGATATCTATTTGTTTAAATCATTTGCTTTTGTTATTACTATTGTTATAATTAATTGTTATTAATTGTTGTAATTGAAAAATTGGTCATTGATGCCCACCAGTTTTCTCGTTCGTTCCACTTTGCAATTAAATTTTTGCATTTCGAAAAGCATATTTCAAACAAATTTTTAAATTAGTGATAATTTTTTTCTTTTTTATTCAATCAAAATTCATTTTTATTTATTAAATTTTATTATTTGAATTCAGAATATATGAAAAATGAATATAAACCAATAAATAAAATTTATCGTTAATTTTTAAATTTTCATAAAGCTTTTCGAAGCTTTTAAAAATTTGATATATCATTCGGGTAGCATCATAATCATAATTAAAGGTATAAATTTTTTTTCGACGAAAAATTTAAAACCGGTTTTCAGTTTGATAATTAGTGATAATTACTGATTGACAAGGATCATCAAAACTTAGATATAAATTACAATTTATTAAAGTATTTTCAACATAAAAAATCAGAATATTTTCATAAATTTTTTCGTAAATGAAATTATCAAAAAAGCAGCTAAAAAACATAAATAAGGAAGGGTCGAAAGGTCAAAAAAAATTGAATGAAATCAAGCGTTTCACATATATCGTATAAATTTTATTTTCTATGATAATAAGCTGATGAGAAATATTTTGCTGCTAAATTTGACGAAAATCAGATGGAAAAGAAATGAATCGGCTGGAGTTACGCCCGGATTGCATAACTTCCGGGTGCGTTGATTTAGCTCGGAGATTTCGGAATTCTTTTATTGTGAGAATGCTAGGCACGTGACATCAAATTTCGAAATTTGACAGTATATTTGAGTACTCAAAACATAAGAGAATGCTGTTGTGGCGCAAATCACGTTAAATTGCTTCTTTAGCTCATCTTGGGCCGTTTCTTTTATATTTCGTTTTGATTCGCCAATATCCTCAACGATTTCCTGCAATTCGCAAAATTTTCCAATATTTTTGGCGTAATTCTCATAATTCTTTCTATTTCTTTAATGAATTTTTAAAAAGGAAGTTAAAATTATAATGTTTAATGGACGAAATAAATATAAGCTAATTGCAAATGGATTAATTCTGTTGTTTGTAGAATATTTCCAATATCTTTTTTAAAATTTTGCAGCAAAACTCTAATGCTTAGTCGATGAAGTCCGCTTTTCCACTTTTCCTTTTCTCTTTAAGCGATTTCTTATTCGCAACATTACGTGGATGCATCGAAGAAGCCTGCATCAGATACTCACAAAATACCCCACAAATGCTGGGAGGATGAATTTGCTATCGAAAAAAGTTCGACCGTTGGTGATTTGTTGTCTTTTTAGCCAGTGACTCTGGTAAAATTTTCTAGCCAGAAGTAAAAACCACTAACGCTAACCACTTTTTTATTTGGAGGATAGAAGTGCAGATGGCCTCAAACATCATTCTGATTCTATTTTTAGTTTCTAATTCTCTCTGCTAAATGGACAAGAATCGAATAAAAAAAATAGGAAGAGTTAATAACATATTAAATGATATAATAATATAATACTATAATACTTATTACCCGATCCATTATTTCCTTTAATGAATTGCTGTTACATGGGAGGGTAGTATTCGCTTTCCAAAGCATATCGCGTAATACTGATAAGGTATCGCGCGAATAACGTCGTTTATATGGAATATCTGGACTTGACTGATAAGAATCCGAGTTACATAAATCATTTCCTTCTGAATTACAGTCAACAGCCATCGATTGATTCTATAATTTGATTTTCACATTTAAGGTTAATCTTCCTTCCATAACTCCTTTATAACTGGTGAAAAATATTCTTTGAGTAATATAATAATGATTTCTAAATAAAAATTATGTTTATAAATAATAAATAAAGTGCAAAGTACCTCACAAATCGGTGGCGGCGGACATGGTGGAGGTAGTGGAGGTGGTGGACAGGGAGGTAACATAGTGGTTGTTGGAATAGGGCAGGGTGGTGGAGGAGGTGGTGGTGGACACTGTGGAGGAGGACATGGCTCTGATGGAGGAGCTGGAAGACAAGTTGGCATAGGGCAAGGTGGTGGAGGCAAAGGATCTGGACAAGGAGGGGGTAATGGTGGAGGTGGACATGGTCTGGAAATTGCCACTGGGCAAGGAGGTGGTGGTGGTGGTGGAGGACATTGAGGTTGAGGACAAGGAGGGGGTGGTGGGGGCGGCGGGCATGTTGCTTGCGGACACAGTGGTGGTGGAGGACATTCTTGTCGCGGACAAGCAGGTGGTGCAACGAATGGGCAATCCTGAGCTGGACACGGCATTGGTGGGGGCGGCAATGGACAACTGATCTCGGGGCAAGGAGATGGAGGTGGCAATGCGGGACAATTGGCAGGTGGACAGGGCTGAGGTGGTAAAGGAGCTGGACATGTTATTGGTGGACATGGCAATGGTGGTGGAGGAGGTGGACATACTCGCTGAACAAAAGGAAGACAAGGCGGAGGAGGCGGTGATGGCGGATATGTGGGACAAGGTGGATGAGGAGGACATCGTGGAGGTGGGCATCTAGCTCGTGGACATGGTGAAGACTGAGGACAACCATTGAAATTACTATGACCATAACCATAGTGCTTATTTCGATAGGCTGTAACGTTGTTTAAAACTGACCATATAATAAGTGAAATGAGCCAAACTCGATTCATCCTGGAAATCAAAACCATTTTAACTAATAAAAATTTTAACTAATTTCTAAATAAAACGCTTAACTAACAATTAAATAACAAATAGAATCAGCAAGCTTTCTAGCTTTATTAAGTTTCAGAAATATTTTTGTATTTATAGGTGTGTGTATAGGAAGTTTGGAAACCCGTTTTCGGTAAGCTCCCCTCGGTAAATATTTGTAAACATTTTCGAAAGTTTCTCACAAAATCAAAAAACAACAATGCTTATTTGTTACGAATGAATTCCACGTATTAAACAAAATAAACAAATTTCATTAATTCTTCGAATTTCTCCGCATTTATGTTGATGATTTGGTTAATTACAAATGACTAAAAGGACTCAGCGTGATTAAGTCTCTCGAAAAGGGGAAAAAGGTGTCTGGCTGGCTTATCCTAGCAGTGGGCTCAGCCATGTTAAGCATGATGAGTAATTGACGAGTATTTTCAAATGCAACCACTGCCAGTGCTTATCAATTGACGAATTTTAAATTTAATTCCATTTTTTTGGCCATGCAATCAATAGATGAAACTAATTCGCGCACAGTTTTCAGTAATTGTTTGTACTGTGATTTGTCTTTGCTTTTTGTGATATGCGACAACTTAGTGATTAATTATTCAAAAATACATGTGATATTTACGAAAGAAATTATATAAAATCAGGAAAATCTGTCAATTAATCCAGAAAATATTATTTGAAAATATTTGCAAAATTACATGAATGTGCTGAACATAGGTTTTTTTAATTCATATTTCGTGCCAGTGTTTATTAATTTTTTTCTTGTTTTCCTGCTGCATTTTTGCCGTTATTGAATTAATTAAATCGTAGAAATTTATGGCGATCGATGGCAATCCTTAATATTTCTTTCAGTCCATGTGGCAGTCCTCAAAGCTTGTTATTAGCTAATTTTCATTATTTCATTAATTTTCATTATTCATTATAGGCTGATTTTCATTATTTTTTAGCAAGTTCTTTGGCTTTTTGCAGACGAAGATAGCAAGAATTTATTCTTAAATAGCAGAAAATGCATAGCAAGTTAGATCGAGATTCGAAAATTGGCAATATATTTGCGTATTTGTTATGTATGAAAAAGACGTTGCAGTACAAATAACATTGAATTTGGTTCGGAACTTTTTTTCAGCTATTCGCTGAACATTTCGCTTTGATTCGTTTATGTCTTTTACCATTTCCTGTAATTTAATGAATTGAAAATTGAAAAATTTTCCACGAAGAGGTGAGAAAGCATTTTCTTCTTCGCAATTTAATCGACCCTAAAATTGTTGGCGATTGAAAATCAAGGAAGCGAACTTTGAAGAAAATATTATAGATTCTTGCTGTAATGCTTTTATTAAATTATTTCTGCTTAATCAGTTAATTAATAACTAATTAATTAATTAATTAATCAGCGATTTATTCTTCGATATCGCAAACGTATCAAGAATAAAACTGTTGCGATTGTTTGGCTCAAACAAAAAGAATAGTCCCTGCTTGGCTTCAAAATTTAAAAAATGGTCCCTGCTTGGCTTCAAAACTAGGCGCTACGTTTCTTTTTATTCGTTTTTTTGAAATTTAAAAGGAAGAAAAATAGCTAAGATGAATTCATATCAGAAACTTTTAAAGAATTATTACCAGTTTCATTATTTCTCGCAATAATTCGCTATTGCAGAGAAGATCAGCGTCAGGCTTTTTCAGCATATCCTGCACTGGCTTGATATCACGTGAATAGCGCTTTTTGTATGGTCTACTTCGATAAGAGCCTTGCTGAATTCCACCTGTTTGATAGCAAGAACCACCAGCAATATCACAGTCAATTCCGATCGATGGCCCATTCTGAAAGTTTTTATACGCCGAACAGCTAAATTCTTTAAATTTTTATATTATAATAATATTATTTTTATATTATAATATATAAAAATATAATGCAAAATGTAATATTCTATATTATAATATATAAAAATGTAATATAAAAATAATATTATATTATATAAATTTTTATTTTACACCACATATTATATTACAAATTTAATTATAATTATAATTAAATTATAAATTTTTATAATCTCTAGTATCATTGTAAACTGCTAGGCCATAATGATGAAAACAATAATAAACATTGTTTCAAAAGTAAAATTTGTTTTAAAATTTACCTTACAAGGAGGAGGCTTTGGGCACGGCGGAGGTGGAGGAGGTGGAGGGCATGGCCGAGGAGGCGGAGGCTGGAAAGACGGACAAGGTGGTGGTGGCGGTGGTGGAGGACATAGAGGTGGAGGGCATGGCCTTGGTGGAGGAGGTGGAGGACAATCTGCTGGAGGACAAGGCGGAGGTGGTGGGGGAGGTGGGCATCTTGGCGGTAATGGCACTGGGCATGGCGGAGGTGGTGGAGGTTTAGGGCAAGGAGGAAGTGGTGGTGGAGGTGGACACCGTTGGGGCGGACAAGGTGGAGGTGGCGGTGCTACACACATAGGAGTTGGACATGGAGGCGGTGGAGGACACTGTGGAGGTGGGCAAGGTGGAGGAGGTGGTGGTGGTGGACATGGTCTTGGAAAACAAGGTGCTGGCGGTGAAAGAGGTGGACATTTCTGTGGCGGGCATGGACGGGGTGGTGGAGGAGGAGGGCATTGAATAGGTGGACAGGGAGCTGGTGGTAGAACTGGAGGGCATGTTATACGCGGACATGGTCGGGGTGGTGGAAGAGATGGACATGGCGGTGGAGGTGGAGCAGGAGGACATGGCTGATGGACTGGCGGAGGTGGTGGAGGACAAATAGGGGGTGGAGGACATTGCACAGGTGAACATCTTTGTGGTGGGCATATCGGTGGTGGAGGGCAACTAGGGCCAGTATTATAGCCACCACCTCTATGAGCAATACGGCCAGCTTGGTGACCACCGCCATAGCCTGAATGCCAACTGGTGCCTCCTCGATTATATTGGTTACCACCATAGTGGCTTGAAACTACCAATAAAATTGAATAAAGAAAAAATGAAATAATCCAAATTCTTGTCATCCTGAAATCAAATTTGATATAAAATCAATAAAAAAATTTTCCAAAATTCAATCAGATTTTAAGAAGAGCAACATGGAAAATAAAATTTAAGGTTCAATAGCGCTAGTAGCATTGTTTGTTGTATTTATATATGGAAAGCTAGCGGAGTCTTGAAACCCGTTCTTGTAAGTCTGCATGAAAATATTGGCAAACAATGCCGAAAATTTCCTATGGAAAAAACAATAATAAAATTGTGTTCTTAACATATGTGAGTTGTGGTCGAGTGGCTTCAGTGATCGCCAATTATTTTCTTACTTTTCACAAAATTATTTCGTTTATTTTTATGGCAAATATATTACTCATTAAAAACAAATTTCATTATTTCAAAACTTTCGTTGATTCTAAAAATTCTAATTATTTCGCTAGTTTTTTTAATTTTTCATTCAAAAATTTATTTTTCCTATATTTATCAGAATGTTTCATTAGGCATTATTTACCTTAAATAACGAAAACTTTTTCCAAATTTCCGAAATTTCAGAAATTTCTCATCAAAAAAAAACAGATGATGGCTTCCTTATTCGGTTTAAAAATATACCACCACCTTTTCCAATTAATTTAAAAATGCTCGTTTTTTAAATATTTTTAGTTGCCAACAGCCAACCAATTTCAAATAAGAAACCACTTACGTAGGCCAAGAACACTCGATAATACAAAATTGACAATGGCGATAGTTCTTGATGAATCGGCTACCATAAAAAGTTCATTGCTCCTTTGAAACTGCTTTGGTTTAATTTCTCGATTCTATTTCACAAGTTCAGTTTTATTTCACTTTTGTTTCGTTTGACAGTAAACTTTTAAATTGTCCTTTAATTGCCTAAAAATGGCATCAAAAATTAGAGATGAAGTAGCTGATTGGTTCTTATTCAGAAGTCTATTGTCTCCAGTGTTAACGCTCGGACTCTTCGACAATAAAGTTGTCTCTTGAAAAAACCCAGTTGGTGCCGGAAATTCATCTATGCTTTTATTCTGAAGTAGTGCCGTAGCAATAAATTTCTAAGAATTTCTACAGCCAGTTCAGCAAGCTTAGCCAGAAATGAGCATTTTTTAGTAGCACCAGAGAAGCTATAACTTTTGCTTATATATCATCAAAATTTGTTTATTGCTCCGATGAAAGTAAATTTTTTATTAAAATAATTGCACAGCGATGAGGATCCACCTAGGATTCCTACAAGTGTCGTCTCTTTAAATTGTCTCATTCTCCTAGCAACTAGCTATCGTGAAGCTATCGTGAGCAAAGAATGGCGAGTGCTGACCATTTAAAAAACCCAGCTGGTGCGGAGAATCAATCTATATTAGTGTAATAACATAAAGCTGAATAGATTTCTGACTGTTATTTTTGTTATAGCTTTTCCCAGATAGCTAAAAATATTAGTGAACGATTTATATGGCATATGATTTTTTCAATCGAATATTTTAAATTTTTAAATTTTTTTTTAGTTTCTCCCATCTTATGCTATTAATAAATAATATTATAAAATATTATAATATCATATTTGTTTTCAGGATAGGAGTAAGCCTGTTATATCAAAAACCAAAGTGACTCTATGGTGAAAGGATCAGGTATTCTTGAAATGGCGTTCGCGTTTTTCGACGCGCATGGTACTCCCAGTCCAGTTGTACATGCATGCGATCGAATAGCAAACCGTGCGTAAAACGATTTCAAGGTTCATAAATGAAATATGCTCGCAAGCCAGGATAATTACTCGATACCTATCAAAGAGAACGGCTCTTTGCATATACGGTGAGGTGTTAGCCGTGAAACAACAGAACACTCATGGATATCGCAAGGCAAATAATCATTGTCCACATTCATTCTAAATTTAGCGTGGGTATCCTCCTTGTCGGAGGACTGGGTTTCGTGTAATTATTAATTCTGACTCGGAGCAGAGGTAAATCAATGTGCTGCTTAGGATAACTCGTGGTAGAATGGCGAGCGATTGTTATGTCTGACAAGGCATATTCCGCTTTGATTGAGTGAAAACCGGTAAGCGACCGTATGGCCTATGCCTGTTTTAAAGGTAAGTTCTGCAATATATCGGTCTTCAGTATCTATGCTTCAATTTCGACAGATGGCTGTGATAAAGATAAGTTCTATGCCGAATTTCAACTGCTTACAAAATCTTTATAGAAACATGACATAGTCGGGGAAGACTGGAATGCACGCGTGGATCATAATATCGCTGCGATGACCTCAACAATTGGCAAATATGGCATCGGTGCGCCAATGGTGAATTTTTTCGTTACACCTTTTTGTTACTAATACTTCGTCCCAGCATCGTTGAAAACATCCAGTCACGTGGAAATCCCCAAAACGAACACCCAGATTAATTATATTTTAGTCATTCGCCGATGCTGAGGTTCGATTCCCCGCAGGAGTACCTGTACAAAAATCTGAGTGATGCTTGCGAATCACCCGTATTTCTATTGTCAAGGGGGACTCCCTAACATATTGCCCAATGCGACAACCCAGTGCAGCGAATTTAACCAGTAATGGTGAAAATTCTTAAAAAAAAAATCGCCGTTGGAAAAGTTCCATGCTAGATAGCCTTTCCTATCGTGGCGCTAAAACGAGCAATCTTCATGGATCTGAAATATTATGGCAATTCGCAAAGAACAGCATCTCCCAAGATCCTTCAGCTATCTCAAATTAAAAAATTCGGCGACAGCGAGCGTATTTCAAACCCAATTATTGAAGCATCTCAATGGTATAAATATCAATGATTTTTCTGGAACGGCAAATGAATATTGGTCCCAACTAAAGGAATATCAGCCACTTCCACGCTAAGGCATAGTAAGTGCGTTAATTGGGTATCGGTCCAACTGTCTGAAAAAGCACGAATGTCAAGTGATCCGAACTACCGCAAGAATTGCAACGACAGCAGCATGGCGGGATAGAAATCACTATTGGAGGGACATGGCCTTGAGAATGGAGACGGCGGCTCGATTAGGCGATAATAGGAAACTGTTTCACCTTCTTCATAAAGCAACTATGATTCGGGGAACGATCAGTAAAATGGTAAGAGACAGCAATGGCGTACTGATCAAAAGTATTAAGGATCACCTCATAAGATGGAAAGAATTCTTTGAGGCGAAACTTAACCATGAAGCGCCATCTGTTGCTCCTGATATAGCTGATACGTTTGCCGAAGCAAAATAATATCAGTTATCCATAAGCTTAAGGCCAGGAGAAGATGATCTTCGGGCTGAGCTTTTTAAATGCTGTCCATCGTCCTTCATAACGTACTTTCAACAAATGTACTCTTTAGTATGAAAAAAAAAAAATTACCAGATGATTGGAGCAAAGCAATTTTGCTCCCAATTCTCAAGAAAGATGGATGATAGGACATACTGCGACAATTATCGAGGAATCAACATACTAGAAGTATATGCAAAAATTTTTGCTTCTCTTTTACTCAATAAACTTATTGCAGTACAGCGAGATGCATCCTAATCAAGATTCAGGGGCTGACGAGATATTCACGTTAAAAAAGGTGTTGAAGCATCGCTTCAAATATTTGAGTTGTTTCATCGACTGCCTACGATTCAATTGATAGGACAGCGCTTTGGAGGGTAATAGAACGCAACGGTGTTCCAGAGAAGATCATTCGGCTTATAAAGATATTTTATCAGCATAGATCGGCGCAGATCTGTTATATGGGGAAATTTCTTCGAAATAAGAACCGGTCAAGGCTGCGTTTTTCCCTTACAGTATTCAATAAATTGGACAATGGGTACCGCTTGTCGGTACTCAAAAGGTGTACAAATCAGTCCATCGATACAAATCTTGAATACGCTATGATATAGTCCTTTTTGCTGATAGTTATGAAATACAAACAATGCTAAACAAGGTAGCGACAATGCAGCGATAATCGGACTCGGGATCAATATAAATAAAACGAAGGTCTTTTCGTCTTATATACAAGAATTTATTAAAACACCTTTTTTTATTAACTCATTGGTGATAGAGGAAATGCACGATTTTAAATACCTTGGATCCACTTTAATACCGAATAGCCAAGTACAAGACGAAATTATAACCTGGATAAGGGTAGCTAGAAATGCGCTTCCGGTTGGCGAATCTCCACGTCTATATGGCTACAATTTTGCTCGATCTTGCCATATGGTTAACATGGCCGATGAGAGTGAAGGATATTAAGATATTCTCTACCTTTGACCTATCTAAGGAGCATTTTACGGTTCGCCGAGATTTTATTTATTAATTTATTTATTAATTTATTAATTTATTTATTATTTATCTTCGCTCAAATATCACTTACATTGACAATGTCATAATATAGCATCGTCTTCGCTGGTTAAGATTGTTCTTCGTTGTCCTCTTCAGAAGTTATTTGCTAAATTTGCTAATTTATTATTTGCCCTGTGGTGGGTGGCATCAAAAACAAGGTAGGCCAATTAAGACTAACACGGAGAGGAAAGATTTGGAATGCATAGATGGACCGACCAACAATATATGGACTTAGATGACGGAAAAAGGAGTGGCTTCTGTTACTATCAACGGTGGCATAAGATCGCGAGCTTTGGAAACGTCTTATCCTTGTAGCCAGTGGAACCAACCCAACCAGTAATGGTGAGAGGTGTTAGAAGAAGAAGAAGAAATTCGAATATTTGCAGCAAACTTGATGTTTCTTTTCAAATTACGCAGTAATAACTTCATGTTTCAACTTTTTTTTTGAACTATTGTTTAAATTGTGAATCGGAAAATATAAAAGAAATTTTTTAATAATTTGCATTTCTCGTTGGGATTTTTTTTTTTTAGCAAATGCAAATAGAAATATCATTAAACTCTATGTTTTATATTATTTAATGTTTTAACTCTATGTTATTTATATTATTTGTATTAATTTTCATTGAATTTCCAAAAATCTTTCAATTTCCATTATCTTCACAGGATAAATTTGGAAATTATTTTAAAATGCACATAAAAAATATCACATAATAAT